ATAAAAAAACTAGGGGTTCAAAAAACAAAACAAAATGTAAAAAACACTTTATTAAAAATACATTGCTTTCTTAAGTGCCCCTTAATTTTGTAATCGTGACTGAACCCACCATAATAGTAAACAATTCTGTGTGCGAGTGCGTATGTGTGTGTGTCTGTGCGTGTGTGTGTGTGTGTGTGTGAGTGTGTGTGGGAGCGTGTCTCTTCAGTTCAAAAAAGTCAAAAAGCATCACTTATTTAAAATTCCTATGTGCATTTGGCCCTTGATGCTGCTGATCTGAACGCTGTGTACTGTGAGATCAAAGTGGCTGCAGGGACTTTGGTGAAAAACGAGATGTGTGCTCAGCTGATCGCTGCCTCCCCACAAAACAACCATGTGTATAACATTACACAAGAGGACGTTCATCTTTTCACTTGTGCCACATAATCATATTGAAGTCATAAATCAAGGCCGGCTGTTTCATAGGAGGAAAAAAAAAAAAAACACCTCCACAAACCACAAAGGACTGAGGCAGCAGGGAATGGGAGATAAGAGCAGGGCCATTACATCATTTTGAACCATGTAATTTTGTTTAATTATGACTAGATTTGACGGTACATGATTTTATATGACAGGGAAACGGTATGAACCAAATTCAATTGACTGTAGATTGAGATTAAGATTAGGAGATCCCATCTTCGTTCCATACAATTTCAGTGTTGCATCACAAGTGACAGAACAGTACGAATGAGGAGCACACAACACAAAATAAGTGAATATTGAGTATAACACAACTCTATACTTAAAAATATGATCTCAAACTTAAGCTATGAAACAAAATATAAAAAGTATACATACATCAGGTATAAATCTGTATATTCTAGTGCAAAGGAACATGTACTTCCATGTATACGTAGATAAATCTGAAATACACTCTAGTGCAAGAATACTGAAGTCATGAGTCATAAGCTCAAAGGGTTCAAATATTTACAGTGAGGAAACTACTGTACATGTTAGCAGCATGTGATACAACAGTGACCAAGTAAAGTAACTGGACTCTCGTGGGCCCATGTTGCATAATCTGACATTTGCAGTTTTATAGTGTAGCTTAGGTCCCGGTCTGTCCGTCCGTCTGTGTGGAGCGGACCCCTCTCTCAATGTGGACCCCCCTGAGGTTTCTCACTTTTCTCCCACTGGGTTTTAGAGTTTGTCCTTGCCAGTGCAGAAGGGTCTGTCAGACTTTTAGTGGTCTAACAAGAAGGTCAAGGTCAAGGTCAAGTTTATTTATATAGCACATTTTAAAACAGACAGGACTGTCACAAAGTGCTTACCAGACATTGTAAAAATACAACACACAAATAACATTCAGCATAAAATAAAATGCAGGACACTATCATAAATGTTTCAACATTGCTTGTGTTAAAAAGCCAAAGCAAAGAAATGTGTCTTTAGCTGCGATTTAAAACTCTCTACAGAGGAGGCAGCTCTGATGGAATAAGGGAGAGCGTTCCAGAGTTTAGGCCCTGCCACAGCAAAGGCTCGGTCTCCTCTGGTTTTTAATCTAGACCTGGGACAGTGCAGAAGAAGCTGGTCAGAGGACCTCAGTGCTCTTCCCGGGGTGTGCAAAGTAAGCAAGTCAGTCAGATATGACGGAGCCAGGTCATGCAGAGATTTAAATACTAACAATAACATTTTAAACTTAATTCTAAAAGCGACAGGAAGCCAATGTAGAGACGACAGCACAGGAGTGATGTGCTCGTGTCGTCTGGTGCCAGTCAGCATCCGAGCTGCTGCATTCTGTACCAGCTGCAGTCTGTGGACTGAGGAGTGGTCAAGGCCATAATATAAAGAGTTACAATAGTCCTGTGAAGGACTGTGATGATCCAGGACATTCTACAACATGTATGGACATATATGAACATTCATGCACGTTGGTCTCTCCCTATGGACCAATACATATGAGTTCTATTTTTTTTGTGTTTGAACTGTTTGGCTCTCTGATCTGTGTTGACAATTTCAACGGTTTTGTTAAGACGTTTGAGATGCTTCACAGCAAGAATGTCCTGGGTTCAATTCCACCTCCAGATTAGGAGGTGAGGAGTTTGCATCTTCTCCTCGTGTCTCCGTAGGTTTTCTCCGGGTGCTCCTGTTTCCAGTATACATGGACAATAGCCTCCTTCAGGCACCCCAACTCCAATTAGCAGGGTCCCATTGTGAATAAATAAGATGACTTACTCAATTGAAATGTCGTTGAGTTTGGTGTAAAACATGTACATTCATCCAAAATATAGGTTTTAGTGCTTAAAAAACTGAAATATTTAAACAGGAATTGACACGCCTCTCCACAGATGTAACATAAAACCAAATACCACCAATGGGCCCAATCAACGATCAGTTCTGGTGTTTTTACGTAAGACATGACATTGACACAGATTTAGCGACTGGGGGAAGCGCTTTGCATTTGTGACGTAGTGGGGCCCCCTAGTGTTAAGAGACATAAAGGACAAAATGTCAAAATAAAGTAAAATGAATAAATGTCACTGGTGCCAATTACAAACAAATGTCACCTTTTGGAATAACGTTGAGGGTGTTTCAATCCAATCAAATCCAATCCACTTTATTTCTATAGCACATTTAAACAACAGAACAGTTCCAAAGTGCTGCACAAAAAAAAAAAAAAAAGTACACAAAAAAGCTCCATGTAGTTTATCTCCAAATAGTTTATCCCACATCATTATTGAGCCAATGAAAGGGGATTGTATTCTCAATTTCATTTTTTTTCAAGTAATGGAGGTTAGAATGTTTATTCATAATTAACAACTTCAAACATTTATCAGCTCAGAAGCACAGCTAACTACTTCATACCTTCATTCACTTATAGAAGCATGGCTATCTCAAATCTGTATAAACTTAGAAGCATGACTTACCACTCCAAACTTTTATGAACTTAGAAGAACGGCTAACCACTTCAAACCTGTATCAATTAACTTAGAAGCATGGCTAAACTCCATCCTTGTGTGAACTTAGAAGCAAACCATTTCAAACCAATATGAACTTAGAAGCATAATCCCTCCAGCCAGTATGATAATGATTCAGTGTGAACTTGTATTTAACCTACAGTCCATCAGTACATTTTTAGAGTTAGAGGAAAGACGATCATCACTTTGTCATCAGCTAAATGGATCAAAGTCTGCGCCTGTTACAATTACAAGTTCAAACCATATCGACAGCGTCCAAAGGGGGGCAGTAGAGACCAGCTCATGTAATGCTTCCTTTAAAGAAATGAATAAACATGGAGATAACATGTATAAGGAGACTCATTGTTATGTTAATACATGACAAGGAAAGTAAATGTCACGTTAACACTGAAGAACTTCATATAAAACTTCAAATAAAAATTATGATGTAAGTGTGCATTTACCATCTTCAGTGTTACTGTCATGTTACAAAGATCATCAACATGAGAAGATGCTCTCTCTGCGCCGGGTCCCATCCCCACATCCTGTCCACAGGTCACACTCATCCCACTTGACCAGGCTTTCTCACGCTCAGCACCAGCGCCACTGTGAGAACAAATACAACACACCACTTCAAACTCCAGCAGTCAGACTGTACAACAAGAACTGCTGACTCTACATGTACATGACACTGTGCTATACTACTATGTCCACTTAATCTATTATTTTTGACCATTATTAATTCCTAGTTTGTGAACCCCTGTTACTTAAAAATAAATAAATCTGATTCTGATTTACATGCCTATACTGTGATCTGAAGTACTATGCATGATATATCTTGTGTATACTGTCCTTATGTGAGAAATGTCCCCACTGTGGCACGAAAAAAGATGATCTTATCTTATGATAAATAAGTTTTTGGAAACTGTCTGTGTGTGATTAATCATAACTAAATATTGGGCCTAGAAATACGCCTTTCGTTGTTTCTCCCCAGAAATTCAATATGAAACAGACAAAGGTGGTGTTCTGAAACTTTAGAGAAAGACGACTTTGAAAGTTAATAAGACAAATAAATGAACAAAGGTAATACATTAAAAAAAAGGTGCAAGAAAAAAATGGTGAAATGTTTGTGGGAAGCTTTGTCGCTGTATAGAAAGTGTCCTGGCGCGAATAAAAGGTAAGCAACTCTTTAAAATATTCTTAGAATTATAGGCTAATGTGCCAAGAGAGAGAGAGAGAGAGAGAGAGAGAGAGAGAGCACGCGCCCTCTTATATGTAAAACAATCCATTGATCAAAGCAAACAAATCAAATGTGTCAAATGAACTGTACCATTATTGCGATGTTGTTTAAAAACCAAGGAAAAAAACCTCTTTGGATCAATCATAATTATGAACGCATTACATTTATTACAAACAATGATTTACTCGTGGAAAGTGCTTTTTAATGCAAAGGAAGCCACATTTTGTACTGAAATTCCATGAAATCTATGTTTTTGCAAAAGCCACTGCTGCATCTCAAAACACAATCGCGCAATGGGCAATGACCTACATATGACGCTCCTGTTCATTCAGACATTGTGATAGAAATATAGCCGACGTCGCGCTCGTCCTGCGGCTCTGTCTCGGCGTGGACCCTTGACGCGGACATGGACACGCAGAGGGCGGGACAGGACAGGACAACCCCGGGTCTCCTCTGCTCTGTGGGGAAAATGCTTTTGAGTTCGCCGAATCTGGACGCATCCTTCGCGCACGGCATCATGGACGTCTTCGCCGCTCCATAGCTAAGGTCATAATCTATTGAAAAAAAAGAAGAAAAAATAACAAAAAAACAAACAAGCAATTCAAATGTATGTTTTCTCATTTATGTTTTACAGCAAACTATAACAATTCGTCCACATAATATTTATTCCTCTATTCTGCGTGTAGCGATACAGAGATAAATTATTTCACCTCATGTTGTAGTGGCACTTTCTGAAATATAGATTACCAATAGCTTTATAGATCCAGTGGACTGCGATAATATGACTGATTGGAAAGCATATAAGACATCGGTATAGCGGTCCAATGTCCTACACCTTTTCCATGGGGGAGGGTACATGTGGCAGTACCGTCCAAATCTACACCTTTTTATGTATTTTTCTAATTCTTATTATTTCATGACGTGCACATGGTATGACAGAATGTGCAGCTAGATTAATCCACTATAATACTTAATGCCGGGAATCCAACTGTTAGAAGTTAGACCATAATATTAGAGGAATCTTTTGTCAAGCGCATTGTATTTGTGTAAAACAAAACCGGAACAAGTTTTTACGCACGCGATACAATAAATCTGAAATATTAGAGAGACATGATGCCAGATGGTTCACACTGACATAGATATAAATACACGCATGAAATAAATTAAATCTGACTTTCAAAACAAAAAAGTAGAGTAATATTGTGAATACGTTTATTATTCTGGCTGATGAGCGCGTCTTTTTCTGGCTTTTATTTTGAAATATAGAGTGGCCATAGCGGCGCTCACAGTGAGTGCGCTGACATCAGGTCCTTGACAGCTGCAGTGAAAGCAGCAGCTGAAGTACTTGCAGAGCTAAAAATAATCAAACCAAGACTGTCGACTACAACCTGTCATTTTTTTAATATCCTGAATATTTTGCCATCTTTTCATTTGATCTATTTCCTTGATTTTTTCAGACCTCTGGAATGTGCGCGTGAGAACAAGTTCAAAGTGTTGGAGATAAGGTATTTACCACAAACCACGTTAACTAAAAGTGTCATGCTAAATATTTTAACATCATTTATTTATGACAAAAAACCTTCAGCTAAATACTACTTAACTTTTCAAAAACAATTCCTTTTTTCCTTTCTAATCCTCACAAATGTGGACGTCTGTGTGAATTCCTGTCCACTAAGTAATGCATGCCTACTCTCCAAATAGTGTTGACATATTACACACATACACTATCTTACATGGACTACTTTGAGGGTATACTTTGCGGTTTCCTGGAAATGTAAGGTGCAATTTAAATAAATTGTATTATGATTATTATGATTATGATTATTATATGATATGAATAATGTTCTGTCGCCCGGCATGGCGCAGCCGGGGCCCCACCCTGGAGCCAGGCCTGGGGTCGGGGCTCGCAAGCGAGCGCCTGGTGGCCGGGCCTTAGCCCACGGGGCCTGGCCGGGCTCAGCCCGAAGGGATGACGTGGGCAGTCCCTCCTGTGGGCCCACCACCTGCAGAGGGGTCTGTGGTGGCGTGGTGCAGCGAGGACTGGGTAGCAGTCGAAGGCGGAGACCTCGACGACCCAGTCCACACACCCAACATCTGGCTCTTGGGACGTGGAACGTCACCTCACTGGGGGGGAAGGAGCCCGAGCTTGTGGGGGAGGTTGAGCGATACCGACTAGAGATAGTCGGCCTCACCTCCACACACAGCTTGGGCTCTGGAACCCAACTCCTTGAGAGGGGTTGGACGCTCCACTTTTCTGGTGTTTCCCGCGGGGAGAGGCGGCGAGCTGGGGTGGCCATACTCATTGCCCCCCATCTCAGCCGCCACGTGTTGGAGTTCTCCCCGGTGCATGAGAGGGTCGCGTCCCTCCGCCTCCGGGTGGGGGACAAGTCTCTCACTGTTGTGACGGCCTACGGGCCTAACGGTAGTGCAGAGTACCCGGCCTTCTTGGAGTCCTTGGGAGGGGTACTGGACAGTGCACCGCCCGGGGACTCCGTTATTCTCCTGGGGGACTTCAACGCCCATGTGGGAAATGCCAGTGACACTTGGAGAGGGGTGATCGGGAAGAGCGGCCCCCCTCATCTGAACCCGAGCGGTGTTCAGTTGTTGGACTTCTGTGCCAGTCACGGCCTGTCCATCACGAACACCATGTTTGAGCACAAGGGTGTCCATCAGTGCACGTGGTACCAGGACACCCTAGGCTGGAGGTCGATGATCGACTTTGTTGTCGTATCATCTGACCTTCGACCGCGTGTCTCGGACACTCGGGTGAAGAGAGGGGCGGAGCTGTCAACCGATCATCACCTGGTCGTGAGTTGGATCCGCTGGCAGGGCAGGAGGCCGGTCAGACCTGGCAGGCCCAAGCGTGTAGTGAGGGTTTGCTGGGAACGTCTTGCTGAGCCCCCTGTCAGACGGGCTTTCAACTCACACCTCCGGGAGAGCTTCTCCCAGGTCCCGGCGGAGGAGGGGGACATGGAGTCCGAGTGGACCATGTTCTCTTCCTCTATCGCCGATGCGGCGGCTCGTAGCTGTGGTCGCAAGGTCTCTGGTGCTGGTCCCGGCGGCAATCCCCGAACCCGGTGGTGGACACCGGCAGTAAGGGATGCCGTCAGGCTGAAGAAGGAGTCCTATCGAGCAATGATGGTTCGTGGGACTCTTGAGGCAGCTGTCCAGTACCGGCAGGCCAAACGTGCCGCGGCCCGGGCTGTTGCAGAGGCAAAAACCCGGGACTGGGAGGAGTTCGGAGAGTCCATGGAGCATGACTATCGGTCGGCCTCAAAGAGGTTCTGGCAAACCGTCCGGCGCCTCAGGAGGGGGAAGCAGTTCTTTGCCAACACTGTGTATGGTGCGGGTGGAGGGCTGCTGACCTCGACTGAGGATATTGTCGGGCGGTGGAAGGAATACTTCGAGGTTCTCCTCAATCCCCCCGTCACGTCCTCCGTTCAGGAGGCAGAGGCTGAGGATGTTGGGGCGGACACTTCCATCTCCCTGGCCGAGGTCACCAAAGTGGTTGGCAGCCTCCATGGTGGCAAGGCGCCGGGAGTGGATGAGATCCGTCCTGACTATCTAAAGTCTCTGGATGTTGTAGGACTTTCTTGGCTGACACGTCTCTGCAACATCGCGTGGCGATCGGGGGCGGTGCCAATGGAGTGGCAGACCGGGGTGGTGGTCCCTCTCTACAAGAAGGGGGACCGGAGGGTGTGTTCCAATTATCGTGGGATCACACTCCTCAGCCTCCCCGGTAAGGTCTACTCCAAGGTACTGGAGAGGAGGCTATGTCCGATGGTCGAATCTCGGATTCAGGAGGAGCAGTGTGGTTTTCGTCCCGGTCGCGGAACACTGGACCAGCTTTATACTCTCCATCGGATACTCGAGGGTTCATGGGAGTTCGCCCAACCTGTCCACATGTGCTTTGTGGATTTGGAGAAGGCGTTCGACCGTGTTCCCCGGGGTGTCCTTTGGGGGGTCCTCCGGGAGTACGGGGTCCGGGGTCCTCTGCTTAGGGCCGTCCGGTCCCTGTATGACCGGAGTCAGAGCTGTGTTCGCATTGCCGGCAGTAAGTCAGACCTGTTCCCGGTGCATGTTGGCCTCCGCCAAGGCTGCCCTTTGTCACCGGTTCTGTTCACTGTATTTATGGACAGAATTTCTAGGCGCAGCCAGGGGCCGGAGGGGGTCCGGTTCGGGAACCACAGGATTTCATCTCTACTTTTTGCGGATGATGTCGTCCTGCTGGCTCCAACGAACCAGGACCTGCAGCATGCACTGGGACGGTTTGCAGCCGAGTGCGAAGCGGCTGGGATGAGAATCAGCACCTCCAAATCCGAGGCCATGGTGCTCGACCGGAAAAAGGTGCCTTGCCCTCTCCAGGTGGGTGGAGAGGTCCTTCCTCAAGTGGAGGAGTTCAAGTATCTCGGGGTCTTGTTCACGAGTGAAGGAAGGATGGAGCGTGAGATTGACAGGCGGATCGGTGCAGCGTGCGCAGTGATGCGGTCTCTGTATCGGACCGTTGTGGTAAAGAGGGAGCTGAGCCGAAAGGCGAAGTTCTCGATTTACCGGTCAATCTTCGTTCCCTCCCTCACCTATGGTCATGAGCTGTGGGTAATGACCGAAAGAACGAGATCGCGGATACAAGCGGTCGAAATGAGCTTCCTCCGCAGAGTGGCTGGGCGCTCCCTTAGAGATAGGGTGAGGAGCTCAGTCACACGGGAGGAGCTCGGAGTAGAGCCGCTGCTTCTCCACGTCGAGAGGAACCAGTTGAGGTGGCTCGGGCATCTGTTCAGGATGCCTCCTGGACGCCTTCCTGGGGAGGTGTTCCGGGCACGTCCCACCGGGAGGAGGCCCCGGGGAAGACCCAGGACACGCTGGAGAGACTATGTCTCTCAGCTGGCCTGGGAACGCCTTGGGGTCCCCCCGGACGAGCTGGAGGAGGTGTGTGTGGATAGGGAAGTCTGGGCGTCTCTGCTTAGACTGCTGCCCCCGCGACCCGGCAACGGATAAAGCGGAAGAAAATGGATGGATGGATGGAATAATGTTCTGTGTTTTTGACCTAGAGTACATGCAAGCTGTACAGTGGAATGGCCCTGGCATTTTGTGGCAACGAGAATGATATAAATGCCTACAATGTGGACTATGGCGTGCTCAACAACGGCTGCTTTGTTGATGCTCTCAACCTGGTTCCTCATGTCTTCCTGCTCTTCATCACCTTCCCCATCCTCTTCATCGGTAAGATTCGACAAGAAGGTTGTCTTAACACTGAGAGATTCTCCTTTTAACTATGCTGGTTAAAGAGGTGGTGGTATTTTGTTGTATTTGTTTCATAACCTGTTTATTACATGTGGGCCAGATGAAGAAGTTTATAAAACTACACACAGTGACACGAGGCATTATGACAGCAAAAAGAAGCCGTAACAACAGTGAAGTCTTTTCCATCAAAGTTTGGGCTGTGACAAACCGTCCTTTATAAAACAGCCCAAACATTGATAAAACGTTTGGTTCCTTGTGATTGATAAACTGAGTAATCCAGTATAAAGTGATTCCCTCTGGTCCTGGGTGCACTGCGCTGTGACTTTAGAGGTCAAAATTGAAAGTCGAAAGTTTGTTTTTACCTTTTTATTTTCTAAACCCACCGTCGACGCAGCTTTTTCCACCAGGGTCAAAAAACACGAATCTGCAGGGGATAAAGGCCCAGTGAATGTTGATTAGACTTAAACCTACAAACTAACCAGAGCAATGAGGGAGGGACATGGAGCAAAAATGTGAAACTGACTTTTTGAAACTTGTTATAAGTCTACAGAGCTATAACAATTTGAACAGCTGTTTTTTCCACGTGTAAGCCTCTTACAGTACCACCTTTTGCTGTTGAATTAAACTCCTACAGCTGTCTCATCACAGCATCTAAAGCAGGATTAGGCCTCAGCGTGAACAGAAAAAACACTGTCTCATTGTGTTGGATGCAAATCATTCAAATGTAAAGGACAATTTTTGTTGGCTTTTTTTGTTTTGTTTAATTAATCGGTGTCTTGCTATTTTATTCTTGTGCATGTCTTTGTATTCGGAAGAGAAACAAAGCCAAACAGAAGCACAGTTGTCTCATAGCACTTTCCCCCCAGCAGACCAGCAATGTAATCTACTGAGGAAGCAGATGTGACGTAGATCTAATATCGCTGCTTAACATGGATAACACTTTCCTTGTGTATACATTTTGTGCTGACTGTTTATTGTCTAGAACTTGTATTGATGATAATTTATGAAGCTCAGAGAAATACTGTCATTCAGATGCATACACATATGGATCAGTGCTTTTTCACTGACACAAGGCGTTACTGTACATAGTCTTGCTCAATTGGATCATTCTAATACCGTCATGTCATGAGGATCGAGGTGAAGGGAAGAACATTTTAGATTCAACAAATTGATTCAATCAGTGGGTCTGGTTATCAGGGTGTGTGCTGTAAATAATGGGAATGACGGGCGGCAGGACACACAGCTCCCTGAGGAATCCTTCATTGATTCATATTGAGTGTGTGTTATTGTTTTTGTCACAGGATAAAGGGGAATATGTCTGAGTCTGAACCTATTATATTAACCAAACTGCAGAACACACTCACATTTTAAAGATTTAGTCACAGATCTTCCTAGACTGCCCCAGATATGTCTCCATCACTATTCAAATCAATGAAATCCCTAAATCGCAGCAGCAGTCTTCTTGCAGGACTTTACAACGTTGTCGATTCCTCATCAGCAGATCAGAGAAACAAATAGTTCGAACACAGAAAATGCAATGATAACAAACATTTAGTTGCCATTGGTTCATGGGGGGCGGATGACCGATGTCCATAAATGTCTTAGACGACCACAAATGAATATCAATAGAATAGGTGTGATAATGGCATCGATCGTTACCAGCTCGACCAGGGTAGAATCCTGGCTGAGCATGATAAGACGGGTGGACTCAGCTCTTTTGTTAAAGCTGGAGGTGTGTCATAAATACTACATTTTTTTTTGTCTCAACAGAAATAGTCTTGTAAAAGTGTGTGAACAAATCAGACCACAACCTGATCATCACGAGTCAACAGTGTGTTTAAATACTGTTTCTTTAAATCTTGTGTCCAGTTAAACAGATAACACATCTCAGCAGACGTCAAGTTGATCTGCTTTGTCTTTATTGTATATTTACAGATGTGTATTATCCTGTTATCCACTGTTTTAAACTGTAAATGCGTAGATAATCACATATGTTTATTCCTGAGTACCTATAGCCATATTATTCTATTCTCACAATAGCATCTTATCATTATTTTTACTTTATCGTTATTTTCAGTGTTATTTTTTATGGAATACTATGCAAGCTACTGTGACAACGCAATTTCTCTTGTGGATCAATAAAGTCTGTCTAAGTCTAAGTCTAAAGCAGTTTTCTATCAGCTTTGTTTTGCTCTATTTGCTGTCTACCTGCAGCTTATAGTCAAGTGCAGCCTATGTATGGGGAAAAAAAAAAGGTTTGCTTTAGCTGCTGTGGTTTTTATACAAGTGCGCTTAATAGTCCAGCAATAACTGTAGTTGTCTGAGTTATAAGTGATAAGGGTGTTGCTTGAATGTATATTTCCTCAGGTGGTGTTTTTGTCTGTGTTTTTCAGGCTGGGGCAGTCAGAGCTCAAAGGTCCAGATCCATCATAACACATGGCTCCATTTTCCTGGACACAACATGAGGTGGATCCTGACTTTCTCTCTGCTGTTTGTTCATGTGTGCGAGTTTGCAGAGGGAATAGTCTCCAACAAGTAAGATTTACAAATCCAATCCCACTTTATTTCAACACAACCATATAAATATATACAGTATATACACAGAAATACATTTGGCAGTTCACAGAATTGCTGAAATACAAAATAAAAGCCAAGCTAATGAGAAAATATTAACTGATTCATTTCTTGTATTTGAGCAGCAGAAAATAAAACAAAACAGTTAATACAAGTTTATTCATTGCTTAAAAGGAGTAGGTTGAAGTTGCTCTGTTTATGATATGTTTATGACATTACTTTAGGCTTGACTTTACTTTTCTCGAAACTCATTATATTTAATGATTGTGCTGAAGATTTTTCAAATTCATCTCTATTTGGACATGTTTTCATATTTTTATCCTAATAAAATGTATCCTCCGGAATGTAAATAATGACATTACAGGACAAACTACCAAAACATATGATAAAAACAAAATGTATCCAATGTAACAGAGAATGTGTTTAGGAAATATGCAACAATATATTCAAACATGATAATATAATCAGTATAAAAAGTGAAAATCATAGAAATGAGTCATACACACCCGACATAAAACAGACTGGACTTGTAGGTGCTGGAGCTGCGCATATCAAAGTTCTCTAATAAAGTAGCGGATATTATACAATGCCATATTTGTTTTATGTGCCATATAAAATGAATATGTTATTGTTTTTGTAGGATGATGACGACCAACCACCTCCATCTCTTCATGCCAGCTTTCATGGGCTTTATTGCTGCCACGACATCAGTAGTTTATTACCACAACATAGAGACCTCTAATTTCCCAAAGCTCCTGCTCGGTAAGACCTAAAGATATCCTAAACCTCTCATAAAACTGTACCCATTTGAAGCATGTTATATCGCTTTGGACAGTTTTATTCATCTACTGGGTGTTGGCCTTCATCACGAAAACGATCAAGCTATGGAAGTTTGCCGAGTATAGCGTTGGGCCTCAACATTTGCGCTTCTGCATCACCGCCCTCTTAGTGATCTTGTACGGGCTCCTGATGGCTGTGGAGATCAATGTCATCAGAGTTAGGGTATGTGCACATTTCTTATAAGCCAGTTTAAAAATAAGCAAGTTTAAAAACATAAGAGCTTGTTGGGGCTAAAAGTATAGCAAAAGTGAGATTGACGCGCACATCCAATTCTAAGTAGTGTGCAAAAAAAGTCTAAAATATTGATCTTGTGTGGTTAGAATTAAAATCTCTTGGGACCAAAAGTTGTACAGAGTCATCTCCATTTTTTCATGGGGCCAAAAGTATAAAATAGTTTACTTTTTTAGTGTGTGTATTTTGACAAACAAACAAAAGATACATATTATTTGGATATTATATTCTAGTAGGTTTACAGTATATTCAATCACAATTGGGCCAAAAATCAAAAGAAGACTATCCATAGTAAATCTTTGGCCTAACTTCTAATGTTAGTTAACATTTTAGAACAGATACAATTATTTGGTTGTGTTCCTGAGAAAATAAGATTTAAAATGAAGTATAACATGCCATAGTATCCCATAACCAGTAACATAAGTTACTATAATATTTGAATATCATAGGGGCCACTAAAATGTCTTGTGGGCCGGATTTGACCCACGGGCCTGAGTTTGACATGTTTTCCTTTACTGCTGTGCTTTTTCTAACACTACTTTCTCTGTTTGCAGAAATATGTTTTCTTTGCAAATCCTCAAAAGGTGAAGCCGCCCGAAGATTTGCAAGATTTGGGGGTTCGCTTCCTGCAACCCTTTGTAAATTTGCTTTCAAAGGTGGATAAACACTATTGAACACGTTTGTATTGCTTAACGTGATCGTAGTGTATCACAGGAGACATTAAATGGCTCTCAATGTCACAGGCGACATACTGGTGGATGAATCCTCTCATCATGGGAGCCCATAAAAGACCTATCGAGCTGAAGAAGATCGGGAAGCTGCCTATAGCTATGAGAGCACTCACCAACTACCTGCGCCTGAAGGATGCATATGAGGACCAAAGGGTGAGGAAAGCAGAAGTAGATGCACTATTTAGTATTTGTTTTGATTTTGAACATACATTTTTCATACATCACTAAGACCGCTGAAGACCCAGACCGTGCCCCCTCCATCTGGCGCTCCATGTACCGGGCGTTTGGTCGGCCCATCCTCCTCAGCAGCACCTTCCGCTATCTGGCCGACCTGCTGGGCTTCGCTGGACCCCTCTGCATCTCTGGCATCGTCAAGTGTCTGGAGAGTGAAAACAAGACAACTGTTTCTAAAGACGTGAGTATAATCTCTCTCTGATAAAGTTATGTGCTCAACAACTGGGATACAATGGAATTCAATGTATTCTTGTATAGCCCTAAATCACAAAAGCAGTTATCTCGGATGAACGATTAATTTGCCAACACAGATCAGAGAATCAAACAGGTCAACACAAGAAATGCAATGATAAAAAAACACATAGAGCCATTGGTCCATAAGAGGCAGATGACCATAAATGTTGATAAAGTCAGTTTTTGTCGTTGAATGCTGAGAGTCCAGGATCATCACCAGAGATTGAATCACAGTGGGGCCACGTAAAAAGGAAATATTGGGATTTAAAACCATTCACTGTGAAACTGGGTGGTCCGGTCTAAATCAGATGCGTTTGTGATGTCACTGAGGCGTGGGTCTTCATCATTTCACAGTCTGTGTAATTGTTAAGAAAGCTTGATATGATCTGATATGATCTGATAGGATTAATAAGATTGTTTTACAATTTTACTGTTGTAGCAACTAGAACTTACACAAATATGACACTCGGGCGCTGGATCTGAGCTGATTCTCTTTGTTTAAGAGACCCAGACTAAACAAAGAAAAGGAGAAACACAATGTTAAGTGCCACAGTAGGTTTTATACAGATAGCTGCTTGCTGTTAATAATGGGCTGGTTTGAGAATGCTAAGGTTTAGCATTCTCAAACCTTAACTGTTGTTAAGGTTTGCAAATGCTAAAAATTATGAAGACTTTTTGTATTAAGTGGAAATTTTGGCTATTACTATTTTATTTACTATTTACTTCAGACACATTGAGTCCATAAAACACAAAAACAGACAACAAAAATACAGACAAAAAAACCACACTAACTACTTCCTGTTTGTGGCCGCACTAGTGTCTGTCTCCTTTGGCTAGGAGTGGATAAGTAGCAGTTGAAGTAGAATGTTGTGGGGATTATTGGCAGGTGAGATACAGAGCAATACCAGGCAGCATTTCTGAGTGACATGGAAAATTCCTCACACTTCTAACACCCTTTAACTTTCTAATAGAAGGGCAGCAACGCATTTCAAGAAAAACATTAAAGTAATGTGTATTTTCTGTGTTGTAGATATATTTTGGCGTTCATTTCATGTCCTCCACGGAACTTCTGCAAAACTCTTCAGTCCTCGCGGTTCTTCTGTTTCTGGCTTTGATCTTACAGAGAACCTTTCTTCAGGCTTCATACTATGTTACTATAGAAACGGGTATAAACTCACGAGGAGCTCTTTTGGTAAGTTAGAGAAGTTAGTGATGTTTGTGGCGAAGTTGGTCCACAGAAAACCTTTCACATTTTACAAACAATCACTTACATAGTATTTTGTCTTTAATGGTTTGAATGCTTTCTCCTACAAAGGCAATGATCTACAACAAAATCCTTCGGTTGTCGACCTCCAACATGTCAATGGGCGAGGTCACACTGGGACAAATCAACAATTTAGTTGCCATAGAAACCAACCAGCTGATGTGGTTTTTGTTCCTCTGTCCAAATCTGTGGGCGATGCCAGTGCAGGTATAGGGCACACTATGAGTCAATGATCTCTACGTCTGTTAGATCATAATTGTAATATTAATAAAATGATCTATGATGTATGTCTGTTCTGTGCAGATTGTGATGGGTGTGATCCTCCTCTACTACTTATTAGGCTCCAGTGCTTTGGTCGGAGCGTCTATCATTGTTCTTTTGGCTCCAGTGCAGTATCTCATAGCAACTAAACTCGCAGACACGCAGAAAATCACTCTAGTAAGTTTATAATGACAGGAACCAGCTGTAGTCATATGTCATGCTCGATGGTGACCTCACATATGCTTCATGTTTTCGATAACAGGAACACTCTACAGACCGTTTGAAAACGACCTCAGAGATCTTAAAGGGAATAAAGCTTCTTAAGCTTTATGCTTGGGAGAATATCTTCTGTGACAGTGTGGAGGGCACAAGAGCTAAAGAACTCACCAGTCTGAAGACCTTTGCTTTCTACACGTCTTTGTCCAGTAAGACTTTGTGTTGGCTTTGTGAGAAAAACTAAAAATACATACCAACACAAATGTGCATTTCTTTTGCAGTTTTCATGAATGCTGCAATCCCCATTGCTGCTGTGCTTGTGGTAAGATGTTTGTGTGTATTTATATGTGTGTTTGACTGGGACAGTACATGTCAAACATAATTTAGACCAAATTGTCAATAGTTTGTATCTAAGTTCTTTTTTTATTTTCTTTCAGACGTTTGTGATGCATCATTGCATCAATGAAACTGGACCAAGTTCCTCTGAGGCCTTTGCAGCTTTGGCTTTGTTTCACATCCTGGTTACACCGCTGTTCCTGCTTTCCACCGTGGTCAGATTTGCTGTGAAGGCTTTGATCAGGTGATCATTTGGCTGTAATTAGATTTATTTTGGACAAGACTGAAAACACTAGTTATTGTGGATTTATATGGAAAAAGGAAACATTGTAGTTCATTGCGATAACACACAGAAGCTCTCTTTCCTCCCCCTAAGAGCCCAGACCCCAGTGTGACCGCTCACATTGATAATAATAGATTTTGACTTGTTTCTGTGGGAGCTGCATGAGTTCCAAACAGAGAGGAAGAAGATTAATTTACATAGCATAGTATTTCATACAAGAACTGCAGAAGTGTGCTAAACACCAGGAGAGGCATTACAGTAAATTACAATACAATATTTACTGTATGTAAAACTAACCAGTAAACGCCTCCCCCCATAGTGTACAGAAACTGGGAGAGTTTCTTCAGAGTGATGAAATTGGAGATGACAGCTGGAGAAATGGTGACATGCCTGTGCCATTTGAGGCTGGTAAAAAACATATGGGAACGGTAAGCAAAACTCTAAAACACCTGTTGTATATACGCCAAAGTAAAAAAAACCATAATGAAATCAACAATTCATGATTTCTTTCAGACCAAAGCCATAAACAGGAAGCAGCCCATTCGTTATCAAATGGATAGCTATGAGCAGCCAACAAGGCGACAGCTGAGACCGTCAGAAACCGAGGATGTGGCCGTGAAGGTCAGTGTCAAAGAGTTACTTTTATCTACTTCTTTTGATCACGCTGTAAACATTTCAATAAACTCAGTGTTGCCCCACAGACTTAGCTGAACAGGAAAAACAGTATAATCAAACTTTATTGGAGGCCCCCTTATGTTGTTTTTCATCACAGGAAGTTTGAGGTTCACACGAGAATGCTGTCTTTTCTCAGCCTTCTGTGCTGGCTCTTCTTCCGGCCTCATCCCCACGGACGAGGGCTGTCTAATTAGTGTTAGACAAATGTGTATGTTATTTCTTTTGTTAAGATCCCCCCACATGGTAGACTAGGATCTATGTTTGTTTAAAAATGTAATCAGGGATCATGAATAAATAACTACTGGAGAGAGATTTCACACATGCACACTAATATGCATTTTAAATCTCCCCACGTACAAGGGGAGACACACACACACACACACACACATTCAAAACATAAAGTAAACAAATAACAGAACAGATGGGAGTCATGTAAACCGAGGCCCAGCAGGAAGCTGTGTCAAATGTCACAAAGCATCCATTTGATTTAAAGCCTCTTCAGTCTCCGACTTCCGACTGAAGTTCATAGTCTCGGAGGGATATTAATCAGGCAAGAAAGGAGAAGTTCATTACTTGTCCTTTATAAAGTAGTAAGTATCACTTTTCACTAATAATAACAAAGAGACGTGATGCGTGTAGAATATTACTTGATTTTTGTTGATTATTTAATTGTGTTTGTTGTCGTTGTAGGTGATCAATGGATGTTTTACCTGGGGAAGCAACCTGTCCACTCTGTCAGACATCAACATCAGCATCCCTACAAGTATCCAACAACACTTTCTATATTTAGATTTGATTCACCCCCTTGCTATTGACCCTTTAATGGTTTATTCAACCAATTGGTAGAGTCACTTTTTGAGTCACTACATCTACTTTAAGCCTGGAAATGAAATATACCTCAGTGGGGATCTCTATCACTTAGTTTTAGGCACATTTACCATCGAACATTTAGTAGACGACTATAATTTTAAAACTAGGGGGTCCAAAATAATACATTTCCAAACAAAATAAAAACATGTTATCAGTGCCCCTACATCATAGAAAATCCCAAAAAAATCCATTCCTTTCTTCAAGGAGTGAACATTAAAGGGTTAATGAAATTACGACAGTCAAAAAAGTCAGAACTACTGACATTTTTGACTACTTAAACTAAAGTTGTTGTAAGGGCTGGTCAGAGAACCCATGGTGCACGTGGCATCTGTGTACTGTACAGTATATTCTCCTAAACACAATTGTTATAATAAAATAGATACTTGTATCCTTAAGAAGTTATTACTCAGTCTCCATAAGCATTCGTACTCATGCAGTTTGTCTCACAGTCTATTTTAAGATAGTGAATGAGTTAAGCGTAAGATCAAGTGACCATCAGTTGTTTGTCGGCATGCAGAGATGCCCAATTTAACCTTTTCCCTTTGCAGGTCAGCTGACAATGATCGTAGGCCAAGTGGGTTGTGGGAAATCCTCTCTTCTTCTGGCGATGTTGGGCGAAATGCAATCCATGGATGGGAAAGTCTTTTGGAGCAAGTAAGATCACCAAATATTCTTTGCTATTTTCACAAGGCAGATGTCTTCAAGTAACATGCTTTTTTCTTTATTATGATAAATGGCCTTTCATCCTCTCTCTCTTCCCTAAATGTGTTTAAATATGTATACATTTGTGTAGATAATAGAACATTATTTTTGTCATTCAAGTTATTTCTAACATATCAACCCTTTAAAAAGGATATGTTTATCCTTAATACATCTGTTTATCTGTAATTCAGTTAAAAGGATCTCTACATACACTCTAAAAACACATCGATTGGAAAGACTCCTAATCTATTTGGTTAAGTTGATGATCAATGACCAATTTGCATTGGTTGGCGCATTACCAAAATAGATTGGTTGAAAACACAACCATAGTGTCTGTCTGGTATTCACCTTCAATATATCTATTGTGGTGCAACCTGCAGGCAGCATAAGCTAAGCAGTGAAGGACCTGGTTAGTTCTGTGACGGGAGACCTCTGGGACCACCATGTGTTATATTTGGTGCCTCATTAGTTTTGACCTTAAGGGAGACACTTCATCCACTTTACCTTTTAAAGGTCTTGTGAGTGGTCATTGGTCAGACCACCAAACAGTGCACTTTAAACCGATAGAATGATGGAAAATACAATACATTTATAGATTGGTTGTTTTAACCAAAAGTTAGGTCGGACACACAATGATCAGCTAATTAGTAGATTTCAATTTCATCAATTTCAGTTTTTAGAGTGCAGTTCTAGTTATGCACTGCTTTAGCGATTGCATGCCTGGACAGTGGCATGTGTGTGTGTGTGTCTGTGTGTATGTGTATGTGTGTGCGTGCGTGTGTGGGTGTGTGTATCTCTCCTTTTACCTCCTGCCTTCTTGCTTACATCAGGCTGCCTAAGGCCAGTCCCGATGGGAACATCAGGTATCTCCTCTTGGCTCTTTCCTCTAGTCATTCATTTCAGTGTCCGCTTCTTTACTTTTAACATCATTGCTTTATCAAATCTACGTGTTCTTATGGACACACACGCTGTATGTAGACTAACCACTTTCAGAAGTGTCATAAAGTCATAAAAATCAAACTGGTTATGGTATCCGTTTGGAGATGTTTTATGATGGGTTGGCATGTGATTCCGTTAATTGAGTTTGTGCTTTTAGGAATTCTGTTGATGTTTGCTGTGGTACTCTAAGGGAGGCTTGACAGACAGACAACGTGTATTTAATTTTCATTGTTTTGTTGCATGAAGCAGTGTTTCTTGGTCTGCTGTTTGTTATGAGCAGCCTCTTTATCATGTGAACATTGTCCACATGTGATGACTAACATGCTCTAACATGATGACTTTGACAGTTGGTCAGGGACAGAAGAGACAGACGAAGACATCCGGAGGTATAGGCTTTGTGGTGCCTGCTTCCGTTTTTACATGTGGAGAAAACCCACCTCCTCATCCTTGTCTAGTGTATTCTTATTTCTTTTATACCATATTAACGTTCATCTATTTTGAAAGAAAGTATCTTTAAGACCTCGAGTAACTACATCTTATAATTTACTTTACCCATTTATTTCCTGTAGCAACCTTTTTTATCCTCTCATCAACCATGACTACATCTTTATTATAAGTTTTATTCAAAATACAATGTGTTCACAATGCTGGGAGTCTGTTTGCGTCAACAGTGTTCCCTCCATAAATGAACCAGCTGCTTATTCACTATATTGTTGGGAATTTTATTAAAGTGTGGTGTAGCAACTAAGGTATTGATGAATTTTAGATTATAGACTGTTTTAACAGATTTCACAATTGCTATCAAACTGAAACAGGGTCAAGACTCCCAGCAGACTCCAGTTAATGTTTTCCTATAACATCATATTCCCTGTTTTTGAAAATTATGTTTTGATCATTTAACCACGAGACTTGCTCCCTTTCCATATTTCTGATGACATAGTCTTTATGTTGCAGTGCTGTGTGACGCAACATGAATATTGCTTTCACGAATCCCAGGAAAACTGATCCTAGCAACACATTCTTTTGAGAAACGCTTTATTGATGTACATGTTTATTTAAGTAATAAGCCACTAATCATATTGTAGCAGTGAAGGATCAGTGTTCCTGGAGTTTAATCTTGTACTCACTGGGGCTTCAGTGTTTATTTAAAACTCTTGTGTTCAGTAAAAACAGGTACTCTGTGGCCTATGCTGCGCAGAAGTCCTGGCTGCTCAATGCAACAGTGGAAGAAAACATCACATTTGGAAGCCCCTTTAACAAACAAAGGTAAAACACATACCCTTGTAATTCAACTATGAAAAATATACTATGACTTATTAATGTCACTTTAATGAAATATATTCTCATCAGGTACAAAACAGTAATTGATGCCTGTTCGCTTCAGCCAGACATCGATCTGTTACCGTTTGGTGATCAAACAGAAATTGGAGAGAGAGTATGCTATTTTTATTCAATTTTACTGCATGTAGTCTATAGCTATAATTAAACTGATTATGTTGCTGTATTAAAGGGAATCAATCTAAGTGGAGGACAGCGGCAGAGAATCTGTGTAGCAAGGGCACTGTACCAGAACACCAACATTGTCTTCTTGGTAAGTACATACATTACTTCCTGGACTATCAAGCGCACCTGCATATATAGCGCACCAGCTAATTCTTTTTTAAGAAAGTCAATTTTGTCCACATATAGGCAGCACTATTAGCGGCAGGTTTTCATGTTGCAACATAACTGATAGAACAAAACTAAGCTATCAAAATCTGTTTAAGTGGACACAACCTGTTTTAATGTAATGCTTAATTCTTATGATCAAAGCTTTGAAAATAATACATCTGAGGAGTGTTTTATTTACTAGTCTATTTCGACATTAAACGTGCTTCCTATAGCTACTAAACCTGGATGGAGTCGAAATAAGAAGTCTATAAACTGCCATGAAGATAGCCCTAATCACATAAAAACAAGTCACGTATTTCGTGCATCGTCTACTGTTCACATAAACATTAACCAATGAGGATAGAGCTTTGTCCAAAATTCTTTTCTTTTCACCCCAGGAGATACTCTACCACAATGAAAATATATACATTGGCCGCATTGCTATAAAAGCCTCGGAATTTAAGATAAGATGAGATAAACTTTATTGATCTTACAATGGAGATATTTAAAGAACTTCCAGTAGCAGCTCATAGTCCGGCATCTACAGTACCTTGTTCTATGAATGATGATTTACATTGATATGCCAATCATACTGTATATTAACAAAAAGATTCCTTAGTTAGCAAGTGCATTGAACAAACTAGTTTTGGTTAGTTTTTGAATATTGTATGTATTTTGTTTAGAGTTCATTGTTGTCCCAGATGTGTGTGTGTGTATGTGTGTATGTATGTGTGTTGGTTCGTTCTTTTAAAATAACTAAATCAACTACATACAAAATAATGGCAACCTTTCGTCTTAGGATGACCCATTTTCTGCCCTTGACATCCACCTCAGTGATCACCTGATGCAGGAGGGCATCCTCAAGTTCCTCCAGGACGACAAACGGACCGTGGTTCTGGTGACTCACAAGCTGCAGTATCTCATACACGCAGACTGGGTACAAAACACATACATCATCAATGAGACTGTGTTTTAAAAGACTGACTTATAAAGACATGAGTGTATTCCACCTTAGATTATTGCCATGAAGGACGGCTCCGTGTTAAGAGAGGGAACTCTGAAAGACATTCAGACTCACGACATTGAACTTTACGATCACTGGAAGACGCTCATGAACCGACAGGACCACGGGCTGGAAAAGGTACAAACCCTTATAATTAATAATCATTTAATATTAATTTTAATTTGGATAACTGTTTTTTTTAAATGTTTTTATTAAATTGTTATTGTTTTCGTACATAATGTTTTACTTACTCTATTTTTTTAAACATACATATATATATATATACTGTGCAGCACTTTGGAAACTTGTTTTATAAAATGTGCTATATATATAAAGTGGATTGGATTGGATAATATCAAGTTTTGTATGATAATGCTGATGCTGTTGTCGAAAATAAGGACATTAGACGGGATCTCTGCGCACCAAAGTAACCTGGAAGTTTCATTCAGTTCTTTCAGCTTTTTTCATGGCAGAATGAAATCAGGATTTGACATTTTAAAGGATAATCTTACGTCAAAATAACAGATGCAAAATGAAGTTGCCGTGAACTGTTATGTCTGCGTTTGTCTATTATGTAAGGGTCATTGCACACACTATGTTTCTAGGATGTGCAGCAGGACAGTCAAACAACACTTGAGAGGAAGACACTAAGGAGAGCGTTTTACTCCAGAGAGGCCAAGCTCGATGATGAAGACGAAGGTCGGTGTTTTGCGCTTGTAAATATAAAGAATAAAGGACCTCGTAATGGTTTTTTTTTTACTTTGAAACCCACAGAGGAAGAAGAGGAGGAAGAAGAAGATGATAATTTATCCACAGCCACAATCAGAAGATCAAAAATCCCATGGAAGGTACCACAATAGCAGTGTTTCCCAACTGTGGGTGCATGGACGTCATAGGGATATGCAATGGTATCACGGGGGGTACTTAAATATATTGAGTTTGAGAAAGTAAATAGCAAACAATATCGGAAAGGTATATGTCCAATATAATAAGTAATTCAATAATTCACAAAATAATAATTACATTTAAACAGCAAATAATACGTTATTTTCCCCAATCAGCTCTTATGTTTTTGGCCTGGACCAAAGTGATGAAAACGGATTTTTTTTTTTTTTTTTTTTTTTTTTTTTGTGAGAAAAGAAGAAATTCATTCATTCACTCATTTTTTTTTCATTGTGATTTACACAACTACGCAAAGACAACTGTATATATAAATACATAACAAAAGCACCATAATAAATACTTAATAATGATCAATTGAACATAGATAAGAAGTATACATGAATAAAATAATAATAATAATCCAAGGCACTCTTGACAGTAGAGTGGCGAGACTTTTAACCTTTAACCCTTGAGAAATGCCCCGCAAAACAAAAATAAAAACATGCGCTGTACAAGAACAATCAACAAAGGCAGAATAAGGCATCCTTTCAAAAAAAAATCTCCATATATGATCCAAAACACACACATACACACAAACATATTAGAGATTGTGTTGTGTGTTTTTGATATGTCTTGTTCTTCTTCCCTCAGGTGTGCTGGTGTTACATGTCCTCTGGTGGCTTCCTCATGGTTTTCCTCATGGTGTCCTCCAAGCTTCTCAAACACTCTGTTATTGTTGCCATTGACTACTGGCTAGCCTTCTGGACCTCCTCCAAAACCAGCCAGAGCCGGCCAGACTTCACCAATGTCACCGTCACCAACGACACAAGCAGCCAACCGACCCTAGCGCCAGTAAATGCAGCGGTAGAATTGTTTTTTTGTGACTCAATGTTTTGTGTGTGCAAAATGTCTCTGATGTGGGTTTGTATGTTCTACAGGATGGTTCGTATTACCTGCCAGTCTTCATCGCTTTGTGCGCCGCTGGGATAGCTCTCTGCCTCATCACCTCGCTCACGGTGGAGTTTCTGGGTCTTTCCGCTGCCACCAACCTTCATCACAATCTGCTCAACAAGATCATCCATGCCCCGATTAGGTGAAGAAGTACACACAAAAACTAATACCATTATACTATATATTTTATTTTTACCAATGTCATTTTTTTCAACAGATTTTTTGATATCACACCACTGGGTCAGATTCTCAACAGGTTTTCTGCTGATACGAACATTATTGATCAGGTAGGTACACTTTTTATTATTACCAGCATTTTTTTGTGTGTGTGTCAGTGACAAGAAAAAAGTAAATATTTAAATCCATCCTACTTGTTCTTATCTATCACAAAGTTTGCAATTGTTTGGCCGTGACCACAACTGTTTAGCAGCTTTTTGACACAAACACACAAGCACACAAAAGTGAATGAGGGTGAAGTACCTCTGTGTCATTCAAATTAGTTATGTTAATGGTTTTATATATCATACAGGTGGTGATAAGATACTGGAGAATAGGGCCAGAAACGAGGCAGTTAAGGTTAAATTAAAATAAAAAGTAAATTATTCTTCAAAACCCTTGATTTTGTTTTTGTTTTTGTGTACTAAATCTTATATTTTTGGCAAGAAAGAATAGTCCTGGGTTAAAACAAATTCAAAATCCAACGGTACACGAGAACCAGGAAACCGACAGAAGAGGAAATATGGCTCCGTGGCAAGAGCTCTGGTGTGTGCCTGGTGCACACTGGGGTAGTCTTGCACAGTTTTTCCAATGTGGTTTTACTGCATATGGCAAATACATTCTTGACTGAGGACAAACATTGACAATGGACCAGTAACATGGGGAGAGGTGCACAGGGTACATATGGACACAGAGAGACACAGGAGTTTCAAAAGGTGTCAAACTAAATTAAAATCATAGAACTGAAGTCAAAATAAAACCAAGCTACAAAAATAAAATACACAGAATAACACGCCAGTTGCTACAAGTCACATGCCACACCTCCACAACTGATCACATCAAAATGGGTAACTGAAGAAAGGAAGAAAGGGGAGAGAAACAAGGGGAGTTAAGGGACAGGTGACTTCATCCATACTGTATGATAAGGGAAACAGTCACTAACTTAATGGTAAAGCAAACATTCCCAAATACCTTTGTGCCATAAAAGAGAGCCTCCTAAACCAATAAAACGCTCACCACGCTTAAGTCATTTTTTCCATCACAGGACATGGCACTTTACAGCTGCAGCCGCCCCACTGTGGCCCCTGGTGTTCACAAAGTTCTATTAATACAATATACTTTCTGGAGACGGAGAAACATATATATATAAAAAATAGTATGCTTTAATCAGCTTTAATCGTGCAATGTTGACATTTTTGTTAATAATTTGTTTCAAATACAATACAAGTATTTGAGCTGATACACCCACATTATTAATGCACTGATTGACCTCACAAAAATGTCTGGTTTGAATAAAAAAAATCACAACTGTATTGAAAATATGATTAAAGCAGAGTAAAATATGTGTTTCTCCTTTCAGCACATTCCCCCCACTCTGGAGTCCTTGACCAGATCTACACTGCTCTGTTTAACTGCCATTGGGGTCATTTCCTCCATTACTCCCATTTTTCTGATTGCTTTGGTTCCCCTGGCAGTAGCTTTTTACTTCATCCAGAAGTATTTCCGGGTTGCCTCAAAGTAAGTTCAACACATGGATCTATTATGGTTCACAACATTGTAAATTAAAAATTGAGATTCAGCCACTGACGATCAAACATTTATTTATTTATTAGTACACATGACAGAACATATTAATCAACATTTCTGTAAATTTTCTCAGAGATCTTCAGGATTTAGATGACTCCACGCAGCTTCCTCTGCTCTGTCACTTTTCTGAAACCGCTGAAGGCCTGACAACTATTAGAGCTTTCAGGTACAGAAAAGGCCTTCGACTTTTGTTTTTTCCACTTACCATAACTTTCACTTTTATATTGATGTATTGTGTATTTTTACATAAAGACATGAAGCACGGTTTAAACAGAGAATGCTGGAGCTGACGGACACCAACAACACGGCGTACCTGTTCCTGTCTGCTGCTAATCGCTGGCTGGAAGTTCGCACAGTAAGTTTATCACTCCCAAAGCAGTCAATTTGACAGCTCTTAGTTCTGGATGTGTTCAGCTCGTGTATGGTCTTCCTAACTGTGTGACATTTTCTGTGTGTATATGTAATTTGTTTCCATGTAATTGTTATTAAATATTTTTTTTTATTTTAGAAAGGTGAGTACTAGTTCTACCCATAGACTGTCTACCTGAACTGTGCTAGCTGCCATGGCAACACACTGTTTATTGTCAGCAGTTAGCATTTAGCCTTTAGCGTTAGCCTGTCAATCTGTTTTTGCTGTAGTTTTTTGTGATATTTAGTTTTAGCTCTCATTAAAGGCGATTAATTGTAAAAACCTTATGAATTACTTTCTTTTAATAAAACTGGTGGAAACTACTTTTTTTTTTTCATTGGATTTGAATGGAGCAGTCAAAATTACAGCTCTGGGAGTTCTAGTAGTTTCAGAATTCTGCGAGTCCCAATGTTAATTATAATAATTAAAATAAATAGCTTCATATTATTAGTTGTGCATTTCTTTTTCAGGATTATCTTGGTGCAGTAATTGTCCTCACAGCAGCCGGAGCCTCTATTTGGAGCTCGCTCTATGGTCTGCCGTCTTCAGGGGGTCTGGTCGGACTTGGCCTCACGTACGCTCTGACCGTAAGTTTGTTTTTGTTGGGATAACAGTGGTCATTGGTCATTAGTCTTCTCTGAAAATGTTCAAATCCCGGTTAAAACTGTTTTGTTTTTCTGTAACTACAACTGAAGGATTGTGTCTGAACTCTCTTTTTATGTACTGTGATTATTTATGATTTAATGTTTTGTGTGATTGTTTCTATCTTGTTTATTTTTAAGCACTTTGAGCTGCCTTGTGTATGAACTGTGCTATACAAATAATCTCTCTCTGCCTTGCTCTTACTCTATGCTCAATGTTTCTGTAGGTGACCAACTACTTGAACTGGGTTGTGAGAAATCTGGCTGACCTGGAAGTGCAGATGGCAGCTGTGAAAAAGGTCAACAGTTTCCTCGGCACAGAATCAGAGAATTATGAGGGGTCAATGGGTAAGTTTTTTAGTCTTTCTATCAGGCTGGATGCAATGACAAATACTGAAGCTGTGTAATGTCTTACCATTGTACATAAAAATAAAAATAAAACTCTTTTAGCGCGATGAGAATGATAAATATTGACCCCCATGGTCCACATTTCATAATGATCTAACAGCAATTAAATTGTTTTTTTAAAGAATATTAGTCACTTAAAGCTGGGGTACCTATCTATCTATAGACTAAAACACTTTCCTCCTATAGGGTGGTTGAATACAAGAAGAAGTTTTGATCACGCACATTCTTAACTTTTAATCTTTATTTATATAGCGCCATTCATGTACAATAAGTTAATTGTAGGGGAAACCGGAGCACCTGGAGGAAACCTACACAGACATGGGGAGAACATGCTAACTCTACACATAAATTCTCACCTCTATACACCACAAGCAAGCAGAAAAATATTTTGTGTGTGTGTGTGAATGGTTGATGGTGGTCGGAGAGGCTGATGGCATATACTGGTTGCCTCGTTTCAGTCAGTGTGCCCCAGGGCAGCTGTGGCTACAGTATTAGTTTATCACCACCGTGTATGAGTGAAAGAATAATTAAATGTGAAGTGTATTTGAGTGTCCTGAAAAGCACTATATGAAACCGATGCATTATTTTTATAACTATTAAGACAGCATATAGTTGTTCACAGCCAAGACTCTTTATCTGTTGGACGTGAAGCCACCCCCGTTTTTAATTTTCAATAGATGGATACAAAAATCACGTTTTATAGGCAGTCCCTGAACTTGGTTGGTCATGTTACATAAGACGGAGGACTTATGACATGCTTGCATATTTCTACCCTCTTTACTATTTCCAGACACCTCTCAAGTTCCCGAGAACTGGCCTCGTAACGGAGAAATTAAAATCCAGGATCTGTGTGTGCGCTACGACCCCATGCTCAAACCAGTGCTTAAACATGTAAACGCTTTTATCCAGCCGGGACAGAAGGTCAGTCGCAGATTGTTGTCAAATACTCCATGTTCAAATACACGCTCGCCCGAGCCACTCATTCTCACGCACTTGTTAAAAACCACTGACGTCACATCACAGCAGAATGATAAAGGAGGACGTTTAATGTGGCTGGACCTAATAATTCTATTTGATTCTATGTAATCTTGTATAGCCCTAAATCACAACAGTAGTTATCTTGGAGGACTTAACAAAACAGTTGAATTTGCCAACACAGATTCAACCAAACCGTTCAACACAAAAAATGCAATTATGAAAACACATAGAGTCATTGGTCCATGATGTTGATAAATGTCCATAAATAAGGCTGTAGGATATTGGTAAAATATCTTAATGTGATATTTTATGACAATGTTGTGATACAGTAAAAAATAACAACTTCAAGAGTTAAATTAGAAAAAGCGTACATACTGTATGAAGTGATTTGCTCATACACAATTCCTACACCCCCGACCTCGAAATGGATCAAGGGGACGAAAATGGATGGATGGACAATTCCTACACATTTTTCCTAGTAAAAAAAAAATAAAATTTATATAAAAGCTTGAATAATAAGTTTTATCTATCTTATCTATCTTCACAAAATTCTTAGATATTCAAAATAATCTCCAATCAAGAGGAAATTTGCCAACTCCAAGTGATCTTTTGCTTATTTTTAGTCAACGTTTTGCTTGAAAATGACTGAAACAGTTGCCGTAAATAGCACCGCAATTTTTGGTGCAGCCCAAGAACCAAAATGTTAAATCTTTAAATATCCTGGATAATTGTGCAAAATGGGACAAATGCATTGGAATAGTGCTCAGAGTGTTAATTATGTTGGAAAGTCATTTTGTTTTTCCTGGAGCACGCTCGCTCACACACAAGTGTCTGATTTCTCTGCACGGTGGCACTTCACTGTCCTCTGCTGCAGGTGGGGATCTGCGGCCGCACGGGCAGCGGCAAGTCCTCGCTGTCACTCGCCTTTTTCAACATGGTGGACATTTTTGAAGGTGAGCCTGGTAATAAAATCAATACTGGTTTTAACAATCATTTATTTATTAATTCAAGTGCGGGTTTGTTTATTGTCTGTTGTTTAATTTGTTTACATTGGGGTTTCTATGGTAATATACAGTGTTGTTTTTGTTCATTATATAAGTAAAATAACCAATAACTAAAATCAGTGACGAGGGGTGTGAAATCAATCAAGATTTTTATCTTTTTTTTTTATATAAGTACAATATTTATTTTTAATATAAGAATATTTTTACATATAGAGTTTGTTTTTCATGACTTACATTTTGATAACAACAACATGTTTTAAATTGTGAAGAGAGTGAAACTTTGTGAAGACAAACTCAGGTTAGGCCCGCCCTAGCCTGGTCGTACCACACCATAGTACAAATGACATTTGTTACATGCAGGGAAGTGATGATTGACCGGAGTGTCCGGATGGCTAAGGCCAGGCTAGACTCGCCCATGCGCACCCCTGGAACTTCATGATTGGTCAAAATTGATTTAACTAAATCTTACTGGTCGTACTTAAGCCAAGGGGGTAAGCCTAACCCTAACCCTAAATACATGTTTGTTGAAAAATACATAGAACTATACATTCTGTTAAAATTGAAATACAATTCACAGCATTAACAATTATACTACACTATACTATACAATTAATGGTGTTGTAGTTTTGTTTGAATGGGGCAGAGCTTTAAATAAGCAGCCACAAACCGTTTTTATTTAATTGTATTGTACTGTTTACAAATATATGGTATTGAATTGAAAGTCCCCTGTATGGAGATAAGTATCATATCAACAGGCTCTGAAAGATCCCCAGCCCTAGTATGAGTGTGGCATTGATGTGATGCTGGGACCTTTCAGAGTCAGACCCACGACCAGAGTAGTAAAGTAGTAGAGGGAATTCCTCTACATGATTTTAGAATATTTGCTCCGTCACAATGATTTTACATGGTTTTGTGTATGATTTGTGCTATACAAATTAACTTGCCTTGCCTTGCCTTCCTTTTTTACATTTATAAACATACTTTTATATGAAGGAAGTTGATACACAGGCCGACTCAAAGCATACCTTAACAAAGTTATAGCACCAAATATTATAAGAGTATTTACGGTTTACAGTTTAGTTCAGTGAAAATGTGGTTGTGAATTCCATTTTGCGATAAAGACACAGTTCTACTTTTGGATTCTGGGCTCAAGAGATTTTGAAGTACTTTCCCCACTGTGTTGGCCCAAATATAGTCTTTGCAAAAGACATCCATCCTCTTTGTTTCAAGAATATTTATCCGATTTGACATGCCTAAAGTCTTTAAACCCCTTTGTTATAAATTAGATTTTAAAAGGATATGTATTGTGTGGTTCTGCTTTCACTCCAGACCATAATGACTCCAAACAGACAGAGGAGGAGAGATGTCACTTTTTCCATGCACACAGACCACACACTAACACAGCACTTGTCTCAAGTCTCCTTATAAAGTCGGGGAGTGCACACCCATTCCAGCAGCTTGTGACAGTAAATCCCATGTTCATGCTTTGTGGTGGCACTGCTTTCAAACAAAAAAATGTCTGTCTATAAACAATGCGGTTGCCTGTTTTTCCAGGAAAAATTGTCATTGATGGGATTGACATTTGCAAACTGCCTTTGCACACTCTCCGGTCACGACTCTCCATAATTCTACAGGATCCAGTCTTATTCAGTGGCTCAATCAGGTAAATACCACTGACTCATTGATCTGCATCCGAGAAGGTTCATCAGGAATAAGTAAGGCTGCCAAGATTAGTTGATAGATTGTAAACTTGTCCAAAAGGTGTTTTTGATTAATCTCAACTGGACCAACACAGACAATCCAATTATAATAATAGTATCAGCAGAATTATAATAATACAATGTCAATGGTCACAGCAATAAGGTCATGGATTTTCCTGTGTGGAGTTTGTATGTTCCTCCCCGTGTCTGGATGGGTTTCCTCCAGGCGCTCCGGTTTCCCCCACCACCCAAATCATGCACTATAGGCAAGAATCCTTCAGCTCCAGTATTCCTCTGGTTATCTGGAGATGGGTTCCCCGAGTGCTGCTCTGTTGCCCTAGTGGCCTTACAAGATGGGTCACATGCAGAGGACAAATAGCCCCACGGTTTAAGGAACACTGGGGCACGGTGGCGCCAGTGTGTTCGGCGTCTCGCTTCCGTCATCACTGTCTGTGAATGGAAAAATGCCTGTTTCTGGACATTGTAAAGAGCTTTTGGTGACCTTGGTCTGTTAAATGCACAATATAAATAAACATTACTTACTTAAAAGAATAAAGAATTTTAAATATTGTTATAACACTTACTATGTACATTTTCTGTAGCTATAAGTGCTCAGTCGTCAACCACCATGTGTGCAAAAGTCTGAATACTGAATATAAATACTATGAACATAAATTACTACTAAAAAAACAAATTCAATTCACAGTAGCACATATGATCATTATTGTTTCTTAAAACGTTTCTATGACCCTGAATCTTGTTGTTAAAGGTTTCCCTCTAAACACCTAAAATCTCAGCCTCATGGGAAAGAATGAAGCACATTTTATACAACAAGTTTCCAAAGTGCTGCACAGAGATAAAAGTAACACATTTATCCAATTTTAAAATAGAAGTAAAAAACCAAAACAAAAACATATAAAAGACAGAGGACCGCACAACTCACACGGTGATAAAAGCCTGAATGGATTGAGGAGGCAGATGACGCAGAGCTCACAGAGAGACATGGCCCTGGGACCAGGCTCAGTCCCAGCTGTGGGGTTACTGGTGGAAATCGCAGTGGGAAGTCTGGCCATTGGTCACGAACACCATGTACTGGAGGGGTCAGCGAGGAGTTGTGTGTGTCCTCTCACAATCTCAGCCTGTGTGTGTCTGTGTGCGTTAGCCGTTTGCTGTGTGTTTGTTGTAAAGACTGAGAACATGTGCTGTTTGTTTGGTTTGAAATGACGCAGTCGTTCTGTGTGGCAGTTTGAGACCATTGACCAGTGTCACATTTATGGACATTTATCAACATTTATGGACATGTATGGACATTTATGGACATTGGTCATCTGCCCCTTATGGACCAATGGCTGCATTTATTGTGTGTTTGATCCTCGGATCTGTGTTGGCAAACGGTTTTGTAAAATCCTCCGAGATACTACTGTTGTCATCAAGGGCCATACATGAAAACATTTAAAGTAGTAATATGTAAGATTTTCATGTCAAGTCATCATCAAATGGTCCAAATCTGTCAAAGGCATTAACAAACCAGGCTCTTTTCGAATACTTCTTTAACTGATAACAGTAGTTCAGCCGAGATATTTGAATTTCATAATTGGATTTACACCGCCCCTAAATCTTGTTATTGTTTTAATTTTGATGTCCCGCTCTCCACCAATCAAAAGTCTGTGTTCCGGGTTGCCAGAACTAACCGCGTCGAGCTAATCTCACTGGTAAAGTAACATGTGGCCACAGAAACAACAAAATGGTTGTTATGTTTTTCAAATCATTAATAACAAAACAAGGATTTATTTGTTAAAAAGGTGTTGGTTTTTAGAAAGTCTTGTCTGTTCCGATAGTTTGTTCCCAGCTCAATTCGTCTGCAAATCTGGCAACCTGAGTCAGGGAGAGTGGAACGTTGCAGTACCAATTTTGGCCAGATTTTTTACATACTGCTCCTTTAATTGAATTGTTTATCTGAATGTGTCTCTCATTTCAATATGTTGTTGCAGGTTCAATCTGGATCCTGAGAAGAGTTGTACAGACGATCGACTGTGGGAGGCTTTAGAAATTGCTCAGCTTAAAAACATGGTGAAAGCTCTTCCTGGAGGACTAGGTATTTATTTTAACGTAATTTTACTGTCTCTATTTGTTGTCTCACATGTGCTCTCACATTTGTCACACAACAAAAATACACCAAAGGGAAGTAGGCAGAAGCAAAAGTGCATATGGCTCTATTCTCATTCACAAATTGTATTATTTATACAAAAACAATTTTGATTATGCAATATTGGAAACAATGATTTTTTTTTTTACATTTAAGTGAGATGCTTATGTTTAAAAAAGACATATTAGGCAAAATTCTGTTATTTACCGTGTTACATCATAAAAAAACACCTGGATATGTTTTTTGATCCAGCCTCGCTAATTTCAAGAACTTCTGGCACAGACACATACGTTTTTTTTTGCATTTTAAAACATAAGTATTTCCCATGAATTTGTTTTGACAATTTCTCAAGTGAAATGATCTTCTTTACAGCTGTGTTTGCAGATGGTAATCTTATATTTTGGAAAGAAAACAAAAACAATTGTTGTAGCATATGGATGGGGCGGGCTGATGCTCTTGATATTTTTCACTATATAATTTCACATTCTAAAACAGGGATGTCAAACTCTTTTCAGACATGGCCAGTGTGGCTGCAGGTTTTCATTAAGAACAAGCAGGAGCACATCAGACTTCACCCATTTCCTCACGTCTTCAGTTTAAGACTGGACTGATTTGAGGAAATGGGACCTGTGTTCTCCTCCTGATTGGTTGGAATTAAGGACCTGTAAATTGTGTCATTATCATTTTTAATAACCAAAAATAATGCGTAATATTTCTTCTTTAATAGTATAATATTAATCAACCTTTACAAGACTTTACAAGCTGTATTTGTTTTGCTTCAGATGCTGTTGTGACTGAAGGAGGAGAGAACTTCAGTGTGGGTCAGAGGCAGCTCTTCTGTTTGGCTCGAGCTTTTGTTAGAAAGAGCAGCATCCTCATTATGGATGAAGCCACTGCATCTATCGACATGGCAACGGTTTGTGCTACTCACTGTACAACCATTTCAGACATTTCTTTCACTTGCTGACCTTTTTTTCATGTTTTTAAAGGAGAACATCTTGCAGAAAGTAGTTATGACTGCATTTGCAGACAGGACGGTTGTGACAATAGCAGTAAGTCTACAATTGATTTCCTGTCATTCAATGCTCACAAGTTAGGTTTAAAGGAGACATACTATACACAATCAACTCTTTTAACCATTTTGCAACATTGTTTGCTCATCAAAAGCAGACCTGACTTGTTGTTTTTAGATCTATCAATGCTAATGCTAATGCAATGCTAAGGAACATCTGGCACAAACATGCAACAGCTTTGTCCACTGTGACATCACACTCAGGGCGGTATTCTCCTCTGAGTGTGACTTCTCTTTGAAATAAGTTCTTTAAAAGATTCAGATTCCGAATCATTGTATTTGCCATTTGCAGTAAAACCATATTGGAATACATTCACAAAAGTCCCCAGTGTGTATACAAGACAGGTACATAATAAACAAGACAGGTACATACATGCAAAGAGTACATAACATAAGTACTTTTAAAACAATCACTTCCCATAAATTAGTTTTGTCAATTTATCGAGTGAAATTATGTTCTCTACAAACACCTACAGTGGTTGCAGCAGGTCATTTTCAAATTTGGAAAAACCAAAACAAATAAGAGAACTCCCTCTGGTGGTAGAATAGGGACAGGACAGACCAATATCATTATTTACCTTTGATACTTGTTTGACCATAGATTTTCTCCTGATGATATTATTTCACATTCTAAAATATGAAGAGACAAAGAAAATAGTCTTGTTATATTATTTAATGGACATAAATTATGCGTAATATGTCTGCTTTAACCATGTATAATTTCTCATACACTGGTACTAACAATCTCAATTTTTCAGTCTGACTTTCTTTTCAATACTTACCTTCTCTCTGCTGCTGTCTCTGCTCTTGTGTCTCGGCCTCACCAGCACAGAGTGTCTTCTATTCTGGACGCGGAGCAGGTGATGGTTTTTTCCTCTGGGATCCTGGTGGAGAGTGACTCTGCTTCAAACCTCCTGAAACAAGAGGAGAGTCTCTTCAGTGTGCTAGTGAGGACTTACAAGTAGTCCCAGTGCGGCCTGGCCCAGCTCCGCTCTCCCTCTGCTTTCCTTTCACCAACTAAAAACTATCTCGCTTAACTTTACGACGAAGACAGAGATTCAGTTTGGGTCAGCGGAACATTTTCTGCTTGTGCTTGGTTGGTACCTCATTTTTCCTTTCTCTTTTATCTCCTTTTCTTTGTCGTTTACTTTGGGGGATTAAAAAGTCTTAGTCACAAAATTAACAAATATGCGTGTACGTCTCCAGCATCGTGTCCACACCATCCTGACCGCCGACCTGGTTATCGTGATGAAGCGAGGGAACATTATGGAGTCTGACAAACCAGAGACGCTGCTGGAGCAAGAAGATGGCATGTTCGCCTCCTTCGTGAAAGCAGACATGTGAAGATATTCTATCAAAAAACTGCAGTTACATCGGGCTACTGCGTGGTCCTAACTTAGAATACAAGGTGTCAAATATGTCCGCACATCCCAATCGAATGAACTAGCACTCTGGATTCCAAAAAGAGGTGCACGATATTAAAAAATAGAGAAAAATCTGCTCAGCTCAACCGTAACGTTACTATTGTGGTCAGTAAATAAAAGGGCAGTGCAGATTTTTCTATTTTTTTCCCTGACTTGGAATACAAACACAGCAATTGGTGTTGACTGTGTGGATGGTAGTAACTGTTGGTATAGTATGGAAGGAAATAATAGACTGATGTACAGTTCTTTAATAATGTATATATTTCAAATCAATGAGAGCTTTCAGTTCTACTTTTGCTCTGGACACATATAATCAAGCAGGTCGGACAGGATGAATTTACTTTACTCTTAACATTTCTGTTCAAGCCACTGCAAACTCACAATTACTTTGAATATCTACATTTAATGCCACGTTATGGTGGCAGGAGTGTAGTCATGTCATTTTAAACAGTTTTGTGCAAACACTGTAGGGTCCTGAGCTGTGTTCAGACCCGCTGCCTGTCTTCCCTCGTGCATTACTTCTGTTGTATTGTTTTGTTAAATATACATTTAGATTTCTTGTATGGCTTCCTTTAATCTGTCGATGTGTAGATGCGTACAATACTCGGGAAACGAGAACATTATTATTCTCACATAGCATATCACTTAAAAAAGGAAAAACAGACAAAGTCATTTCACAACTTGCTTTTAAGCCAATGAAAGAAAATTATTATGTAATGTCTTATCACATGAAAAGTAAGAGAGTGTTCTCTGTAGTACTCGAGCGTGTACTTCTGTACTCTCACATAGTTCCACTACATGTTGTTACCCCTTCTTATGTTTCATACTATTATATTATGGTTATTATTATTATTATTATTATTAGAGCCATTGTGCCACCAACCTGTTGCTGTTGCCTGTGCCAAAGCCTGATTACAGCTGTGATGTCAGATACATACTGTTAATTGTAGCTTTGTCATGTAGGACACTAACATTGATCTTACATGATGCTTTGGTGTCATGTGGTTTCACATGATGATGGATGCCTTATATATTTTATATATTTATCATTTGTTTGTACAATGGGGATATTGTTTTTGTTTTAACTCCCCCACTAATGTAAGAAATAAACAAAGATGTGAATACGTGTCTTACTTTCAAGAACTAAGACTAATGTGATATCCATTTTTTCAAGGAGATCATTTATAAAGTTGTGTCTGTTACTGTTTTTTATGTGCAAATAAATAGCTTGAATTTAATTAGTTTTATTATGCGAGCATCACATTTATGCAAGATCCTCTTCATAAAGGAAGGGACACACATCAACCATTATGTAATAGGTCTGAATCTTGTTATTGTATTCTACTCCCCATGTGAAGCGTCTTTGAGTGTCCAAAAAGCGCTATACAAGTTTGATGTATTATTATTATTATTATTATTGAATCAAAGATTAGTGATATATTTGAGCGAAATAAGTGTGTTCTGACCTTTACATGTCTTAAGACAAAGTCAGAGAAAGATACAGACAACCGCCTCAAAGATGGGGACCAACCATGAAGGATTGTATCCTAAACTGGTTGTTTTAACATTTTGAATTGTACTATTGCGCACTTCCCGCTTGGATTTCATGTAAAAAAAAAATTCATGAACACTTGATTTCACCTTTGGGTCCATGGTTTTCGGCCGTGAGAGCCGTGTGAGAGCTGTGGCCCCTGAAACGGGAGTGAGAGAGCGAGCTCAGCCCTGCCACAACTGCTGGGACCTCATTGAGAGGAGACATGCGTAAAGACGCGCCGTAAATTAGTTTCTTAGGTTCATTATAAGATGCTTGCGAGAAAGAGCATCATTCCAGAGGAGTTCGGGCTGCCGGGGCTGGTCTCCCGTATGCCACGGAAACCCGTGTTCAGGGACCGGGTCAACAAGGCGCGCTTTATTGCGAAGAATGGCTCTTGCAACTTGGCGCACAAGAACATCCGCGAGCAGGGCAGGTTTCTGCAGGACGTGTTCACCACACTGGTGGACCTGAAGTGGCGTTTCACACTGGTCATCTTCACCACCACGTTCGTGAGCAGCTGGCTGCTGTTCGCCATGAGCTGGTGGCTTGTGGCGTTCGCGCACGGAGACCTAGACCCCTGGAGCCAAAACGGCACTTACTGCGTCACGGACGTCAAGTAGGCAATGTTAACCACTTTCTTTTAAAGAACTTGTTGGAATGGACATAGTGAGTTTCTCACAATAAATAGTCAGAAGTAAATTTCCTGCAACAAATTTTGCTCGGGTGTTAGATATCAGGGTGAACTTACAGATCTACAACATGTTGGGAATCAATTCATGTAGGTCTATGCGAAAAGGGTTAAAACTTGTTTTAATTTATTGAGATTTTGTTTTTATTTTTACAACAATAACTTTAAACAGAGTTGTTTTTATGGACACGTGGTAAATATTGATTTGCAATAAAATTAATAGCAAAAAGGAAAGATATACGTTGAACCAGACGCGCAACAATCAGAGGTGACGTACCCGCCTCTGATAACGCACTCTTTCAGTTTTGACACTGATGAAACGCTGATAATTAGAATCATTCGTCATTAACGATCCAAAACAGCATACTCATATACTCATATTTTGAATGGAAAAGGGTCCTCAAAATACTTGCAGTAAGTCCTCAGAAGCTTTGCAGTGCAGCGCCTGGTTATACTGTGATGGGAGACCTTTGGGAACACCGCAGGTGGCACAGTGGGGCGGCTGCGGCTGTAAAGTGCCAAACTGCCGTTGTGTCCTTAGTAAAGACACTTCATCCACATTGCCTTGTGCCTTGTGCCCCAGGGCACAATAATGACATGTGAAGCGTATTTGAGTGTCCAAAAAATATAAAACCGATTCCTTATTATTATTGTTATTATTATTAAAACAAAATATATTTTCTATCTTTGTTCAATGCACAGGTCATTTACGTCGGCCTTCCTGTTCTCCATAGAAGTGCAGGTGACCATCGGGTTTGGGGGACGCATGATCACAGAGCAGTGTCCTGCGGCCATCACTGTGCTCATCATGCAGAACATAGTGGGTCTCATCATCAACGCTGTCATGCTGGGTATGTCCACGCACCACCGCTAGAGGGAGATCGCACAAAGCTTGTGTGTTTGTGCGTGTGAGTGTTTGCATGTTATCTTTGCTGTCTAGAAAGACACGAAATTAATAATATAAAGTATTGCCCTAAACCTTTTGCATTGTTGATATCATTATGGCACCAACTTTGTAGACTGCCCTCTGTGCTGTAATAGTTTCTCCAATATTTGGTTAAGTTGTACTATTAAATATTCTACACTACACAACAATTAATTCAATACAAGACTGAATTTCCAGGTTGTATTTTTATGAAAACGGCTCAATCAAACCGGAGAGCAGAGACTCTGATATTCAGTCGTCACGCTGTCATAGCTGTGAGAAACAACCACCTCTGCTTCATGATCCGCATCGGAGACCTAAGGAAGAGTATGATTATTGGAGCAACAATCAGACTACAGGTTACTATCATGTTTTTTGTTTTGTTTGTGTTGTCTATTGTCCACCATCCACATGTGCCTGTACAGGTGGTGAGAAAAACCACTACTCCAGAAGGCGAGGTGATTCCCATTCATCAGATAGATGTACAGACGGAGAGTGCTGTTGCAAGCAATAACCTCTTTCTGTTGGCCCCTCTCATCATTTGCCACATTATCGACAAAAACAGGTAGATTGATGATTTTTTTAATTGGGGGGTTTGGGTATTTGTTTGGCCAATACAACAGTGCTTGATGAGCATATGTTTAGCCCCATGTATGACTTGTCAGCCATGGAGCTGCAGTGCAGTGATCTGGAGGTCATCGCTATCCTGGAGGGAGTGGTGGAGACCACCGGCATCACCACGCAGGCTCGCACTTCCTATGTGTCTGAGGAAATCCAATGGGGCCACCGTTTTGTCCCTATAGTTACAGAAGAAGAAGGTGTGTACTCAGTTGACTACTCGAAATTTGGAAACACTGTCAAGGTAAAATAAAATAATATAATACACAATGTTTTATGCTATATTTATATATTTAAAAACATTTTTGTTCCTATTGTAGGTTACAACTCCTCGCTGTAGTGCCAGAGAACTGGACGAGAAACCTTCTATTCTAATCCAGACTCTTCAGAAAAGTGAGTTGTCTCACCAAAACTCACTGCGCAAACGCAATTCAATGAGACGTAACAACTCAATGCGTAAAGGCGCCACCAGTGGGAGTCTGCGGAGGAACAACTCAGGGCTCAACTCCCCAAAAGTCCAGTTCTTCACCCCAGTGGAAGGAGGGCAGAGCCTGAACGCTGTCACCTGACATGAGGCCAGCCTCCTGCTCACTGTCTGCCTCACTCACAGGACTCAAGCTTTGGTATCTCTCTTGCCACGACAGGACTCTTTGTATACAAGTCTCCCATAATATTAACATTAAAAACATTTTCATAAAACTGCTCAACTGTCTTTATTGTGACACAGTAAGAATATATACACCCATAGGAGGTTTTTAAATGTATTCAGAATAAATAATTGCTACATGGTTAATGTAAGGGGCCCTTTAAAATAATACAATTGTGGTGGCCATTGTGTCTGTTGTGCAGAATAGTATTTTTACAATTGTTGTGTTTTTTTTCCCCATCAGCACCTTAAGATAATACATGCCCCCATCCAGGTCCAACTCCCACCTACCAAACCAATAAACCTAATTTTTGTTAGATATTGTATTTTTAATAAATCATTATGAATATATAATGAATATATAATGCATTTATATATATATATATATATATATATATATATATATATATATATATATATATATATATATATATATATATATATATATATATATATATCAGGGACGTGCGGTGAGGTTTGTGATTGGGGAGGCACTGACTTTAAAAGTCAGATTTACAATCATTATTCAAATAAAATAGCATTTAATCACCAATGCAATGACATCCACAAACTTTATATACTGTAAAGATAAGAGAACCAGCTTCTTTTAATAATCTCACAACAAATCTAGCTGCTGACTCTGCTCCGCATCAAACAACATCTTTAAGAAGCGCAGGTGCGAGAGACGCGAGGAGAGAGAGACGCGAGGAGAGAGGAGCAGAGAGAGACAGAGAGGAGCAGAGAGAGACGGAGGAGCGAGGAGCAGAGAGAGAGAGAGACGGAGACGCGAGGAGCGAGAGAGACGCGAGAGAGAGAGACGCGAGGAGAGAGAGACGCGAGGAACATAAACAATAATTTAAACAAGTTGCAGAACTCTTGAGCAGTGTTTGAATCAGTGTTTTTCGGAAAAGCACTACTTTGCCGGTATCTGTCAATGTTCAACATAAAACACAGATTAACAAACTCCTCCCCCGCAGCCGGACTAACCTCGTAAGTCCAGTGGTGGTCTCCCAGTCTATATTAATTCTTTCTTTGTTTGAAAGTCCAATTGAGAAAAAAAATCTTCATTCAAATCATCCATTTTCCAGCAAAAGAAATAGCATTTTGGGCTGATTGTTTGTTAGCAACTCTGGTATGAACTTTATGCTCACTATCACCCCTAGCGGTGAGGCACAGATACCGCCTGCCTCACGCCAAGCTTTTTCCTTGTGTGTTCATCTACGATCAAAAGACTTAAACTAAATATAAATTGTACACACATACGTGCAATACACTACTAAACACTAAGAGGAGTTTAAAAAATGTTTTTAAAGCAGGATATTTGAAACAAACGGTGATATATCAACTGCACGAGCTGAGTGCACTCAGACACACACACACACACTGTGAGGGAGCGGTCTGGGGTGAGGCACGCAGGAGCGCTGCCTCACCTCGTCTCTTTGAATAGGAATAACGGGATTTCGGCGATTTTGACTTCAGAAATGATCAAAACTGATGGGAACCGTGCCGAATATACATTAAAAGCATAGGACAGTGGATATAAATTATATATTTAAACTAAAATAATTATTAGTTTCCAATAATGGCAGGTGAGGCTCTGCCTCCCCTGCCTCCCCTGACTGCACGTCCCTGATATATATATATATATATATATATATATATATATATATATATATATATATATATATATATATATATATATATATATATATATATATATATATATATATATATATATATATATATATATATATATAATATCCAGCAGGGGGTGGAGTTGGCTGCCTTTCAGGTGGGCCAGCCTTCTGCTGTTCACTGGCTCGCTATATATAATTGTTATATATATATAACAATTATATATAGCGAGCAGTTGATCCATTTAATCCACTGCAAAAAAAAAAAACATAACAAACGATGACGTATGCGGAAGTCGCTGCTGTCTTGACTTTCACGTAGTTGTGAGTGTGGTGCACGGAGCGGGTATAAGAACAGGGTTCACTGTTTACACTGTTCATCAAGAGGAGCAGGACTCAGTGAAAATGGCTCGGAACCTCCTGTCTGCGGTGGGTCATTATGTCGGTGTCCATAAAGTCCACAGGAGTGTTCTGTGCAGCCTTCGCCTCTGTCACACAGACGCACTGACACTGACGCAACAACACAACGGAATCAGGTCGGGTTTGAAGCTCTAAATGTACATTTGGGATGATAAATGTTATATTGCATAGGTTTAAATAACTTAGAGTGTTTTGTTTATTTTTGTTTTTTAAATAGAAGAATAGTTTTGAACAATCCTAAAAAGAGAAATGCGCTTTCTCTGTTGATGTTGGAATCCCTTCGCAAGAGCATCCTCAGTGAAGCTGACAGTGAAGATCTCAGAGTGATTGTCATATCAGGTACGCTGCACGGCTCCTATTTAGTTTAGGAGTAGACTTTGAAGAAGAAGGTGCAAAGTACAGTGTTTGTTTACACACCAGCCAATGGCCCCGTGTTTTCCTCTGGCCATGACCTGAAGGAGCTGACCTCTGCTCAGGGAAGAGAGCATCATGTTCAGGTGTTCAACACCTGCTCAGAGGTATGTCCTCAAGCACATGGCAGCCAGCAACAGTGTGTCCCTCTATTCAAGCCAAAGTGGTTACATATAAGCAACATACGCTCGTTTCATTTCCAGGTAATGACCCTTATTCAAGACATACCCGTCCCAGTAATGGCCATGGTCAATGGTGTTGCCACAGCCGCAGGATGTCAGCTTGTTGCCAGCTGTGACATTGTAATTGCTTCGGAGAAATCTACCTTTGCTACTCCCGGTGTTAATGTGGGTTTATTCTGCTCGACACCAGCTGTAGCTATTGGGAGGACTGTGCCTAGAAAGGTAACATTTTCAAATTATTGAATAACTTGGGAGATCATAAAGTTATCTTTTCCCTAAATAAACATCTATAATATGATCTATCATAGGTTGCACTGGAGATGTTGTTCACAGGATCTCCTATCTCGGCCCATGATGCTTTGCTGCATGGTCTGGTGAGTAAGGTTGTCCCAGAAAACCGCCTGGAGGAGGAGACATTGGCTATCGCTGAGCGCATTTGTTGGGCCAGTCAACCTGTGGTAGCCCTTGGGAAAGCTACATTCTACAGGTACAGATGTGTTTATCATCGTTGATATTCAACATTTCCACTTATAATAATCCCTGTTAGTATATGCCACATAATATTTACACACAATGGATGTATAACACCACAGAATGTGTTCAGTGATTTGTTCATTGTTTTTTCTTGAAGTCAAATGGCACAAGGTCGAGATGCTGCATATGCTACCGCCTCCAAAGTGATGGTCGAGAACCTGGCACTGAGAGATGGGCAAGAAGGAATCAGAGCTTTCATAGAAAAACGCGAACCTGTGTGGAGTCATACAACAGAGAAAGCTCATGACTGATCTAGGACATGGCTGAACAAACTAATTATGTTGATTAATACAATCATAGTAGCAAACAAACCTGTTCTTTTTGTAACAGCAGTTTTGTAATACATTTAGCAAATTTTCTATTCAACAAATAAACGAGAAAAAATCTTTGTCACCATTTTTTTGTCTTGAAGCATCGTGAATGTGTGTTGAGTCTCCCTTAGGAAAAATATTTGTGATAATAATCCCACGCATACAATTTGTCATTCAGAATCACATAAAAAGAGACAAAATTATCTATCCGCGTATTGGGTTTACATTTATTTAGTAAAGAAAATGTTTCAGAGAGAAGTCAACATTAACCTGCCTCCAATAAATTAGTAAATCATCAATAATTATGACAATTTTTGCTTATTTCAAAATCCAACCAACAATCATAAAAATATGTATGCAAAGCAAAAAAACTATTGGCTTTAAGCCATTCAACAAAGCAAAGACTATTCAGCTCTCAATTAGTAGAATAGTTAATCATCTATACCTCAAATGAAAAACTACTGGCCTTGAGCATAAATATGAATATAAATCTCTTTTGCCATCTTATGTGTTTACTGTTTAACTTTGATAGAACATAAAAATCAATGAAAGAACTTACAGTATCTTGAAATGGATTTGTTTTCTTATTGTAAGACAAATATTTTTTTCTCTTTGAAAAATAACAATGAATCTCTAATATACATACATCTGAAGTAACAAAAAATACAGTAAAAATAAACCAGGGAAAGACTCCCTGTCTGTAGTTACACGTGACATCAAAACCCACTGTGCATACTCTAAAAAGATACACAGCCATCTGTTCATTTACATCCAAAAATAAAACAAAATCTTCTATCAGTTTATCAAACTGATCAGTAGAAATATTGTAAGCTGGTGTGTTCTGCATGTCCCACTTTCACATATTTATGTTAGAAATGACAGCAGACACAAAATCACCTCTTTACAGGTAAAATACTAACCACAGTGTTATTGACTATCGCACAGTTACAGTGTTGCAGTATTGTGTCCATCAAAGCAGCATGGAGTCCTGAATGGCAAACGCCTCATGGGCATTTCTGTAATGTGGTCCTACAAACAGCTGGGGGAGCTGTTGTCTTATCACAGGCTGTTGCTCGTGAAACTGTGTTCTGAACTGATGGAAGTTGTTGGCAGGAAAGCTAAACTCCTGCACAGGAAACATCTGAGCTTTCTGGAAACTGGGCGAGCGAGGCATCCCACCGGGAGAGAGCAGGGGGAGCTCCCCCTCGGCCCATGGAGCGTCATCCATAACTATCTGTCTGTCATCTCGATAGTGTAAGCTGGGCTCCATTCTGCGCAGACCAACTGGTGTGAAGGCAGGTGCAGTGGAGGTGAGCTGCTGGAGGTAAATGGGAGTGGAGGTCCCTGAGGTCTCCAGCTGCAGGGGGTATTCTTGCGGGGGCTGAGGGGTGCAGGAGTGATGGCTGGAGTTGGGTGGAGGCTGCCTGCGGTAGGTAGCAAAGGAGTTGTTCATGAATTTGTCTGGAGAGTTACTGTTTGAATGCCTCTGTGTGGTGGCGTATGCTCGGTCCCCATGCATCTTAGTGGGGGAGGGGGTGAATCGAGAGGGCATTGCATAGCGTAGGGCCTCCCCTCTCTGATCCTGATTCATATTATGATGGACTGGATGAAAAATAGGAACTTCAGTTTTGGTTCTTCCCAGTGCTTGCTGGTGAGGAGACATACCATAGTGGGCACTGGGATAACTGCCCTGGATCCCCCCTGGGGAATGATGAGGAAACTGATGTGATAATGAGTGCATGGTTCCTCTGGGCCCTGAAGCTACAGACACAATACTTCCAGCCGAACTAGGTCCTCGTAATGGACTTCCACGATGACTTGGCGAGGCTCTTATAGGTGTCTCTGCACGAACATTTCTTATTCTCGATGGAGGCCTCTCCAGCTCCAGGATTTCAAAGTCCTGCTCAGGTAAACCAGGTACATTGTCATACTGTGAGGCGTTAGAGCCTCTGTTCGAGCCGGGAACAAAGCCTTTGGAGCGTGGCCGTCTGTGGGCCAGCGCAGCGTCCTCTGGACTTGATGGAGCAGGAGATGTTCCTCTGCTCTGTCGCTCCCGAGCTGCTGCGACCTTTGCAGCCTCTAGTTTAGTCTCTGAGGGTTTGAACCAGCGGGGACCAATGTCTCGACGAGAGCTGGGGGCTGCATTGGAGTTGTGGTTGGCTGAGGCGTTATTTTTCCCTTCTTCTGTGATTGCAACTCGTGGCCCAGGGTTCTGAGGAGGTGCAGAGAGAGCAGTGGGTGGAGTTGGCTGCCTTTCAGGTGGGCCAGCCTTCTGCTGTTCACTGGCAATCTCTCCTGACGCTCTGGAACTGGCATCTCTCCGGTCAGCCTTGTTGTGCCGGATGGGTTTATCCAGTGAGTCTCTGCGGACACGACTTGGTGGCCGACTTTCCACTTGACGCTCCGGAGCAGGACTCGGGTCTCTCGAAAGCGATGGAAGCTCTGAAAGCTCTGCAAGCTCAGCGTGGTTTTGTCCATTCACTAAATGGTTCATGACAGATTCTGACCCCAAAGGAGGAAGCTGACCGAGAGGTTTTAGGGGGAACTCATCCTCTTTACCTGGAAAACAAATACAATTTTGTAAACATACCCAGAAGAAAATCTAAGATTAATGGCCAATTAATACTGGTGTTGACTGACATCAGATGAAGGAACTCACAACAAGGACATGAGCCATGCAACACCACGGTCAGAGACTTACATTTACAGAGGAGATAATCACTGATCATTACTGCAACTTTTCTCACATCTTGTATTTAAGATTATATCAAGTTTGTAACACAGTAAAACTGATATTTTTTCTGATATTTGATAACAGTAGCCTGTGCTATCTGTTCTATGACAAGAAGCTGATACCAAAATCCTTAAATCACTCAACAATGTCTTGAAATTCTTATTTTTATCTGTTGCAACTAACAGCAGGACAAGTCTAAAACTCAAAATATAGATAAGCAATGTTTAAAAATGTTTCAAAGAGAAAAAAAGATGTCCTTTGTGACGGACATGTGACAGACAGACAAACGTCAAGGCTGAGTGTGGGACAGATGCACAGACACAGAGGGGAGATCAGTCAGGATAGCCCACCAGTTACTGTTGTAGGAGGGAATGTGTCCCCCACTCACAGCCACATTTTTCATGTTGTTGGCTAACAGTGTACGGAAGAAGAGAGAGAGAAAAAGCAAATTATTAAGACAGAGCAGGAGCCATTAAACGTGTCACAGGCAACAGACAGCAGTTAGCCAGCTCAGCCTGTAGATGGAAACAAAATCTAATCATTTTCTATTCTAACAGGTGACGTCATAGTGAGGTTAAAAAAATACAGTGAACCGTTCACATATTCGTTCAGATTTCTTAATTAGGTTTCATGACAGTTGCTCAGTAGGTCACACTGAACAGCAATGCACCTTTGGGTTAATTTTTCCATTTGGGGAAGAGCCAAAGTCCGGCCCACGGACCTCCCATATGATTTTATGTGGTCATTGAGATAATAAACACAAGTGCGCAGCGTCATCAAGCCAACTTCAGCTCCACCAAGACAGTCATAATATACCGATAAAGCTCAGAGCCTCTTAACCCTTTAATGTTCACTTCTTAAAGCAATTAATTATTTTTTTATTTTTGGGATTTTCTAAAGATGTAGGAGCACTAATAATACATGTTTTATGCCCATGTTTTTAATTTTAGGTCTTTACCAAATGATTGAGATGCAGATTGATGATAAAAGTGCCCCAAAGAGGTATATTTCAGTTCCAAGCTTCAAGTAGATAAAGTGACTCAAAAGGTGATTCACAAAATGGTTGAGGAAACAATTGGGGGTTAAATCCAATCATTGACTTTGTTTTACTTGTATCTATGATTTACAATGTTGTGTATGGCGCTAATGTAGCAAACACGGGTCATTCAGCCAACTTCAGCTCTCTCAAATGTGGACATGGTCATATCCAATTCTAAGTCTGGGGAAATAAAGTGCCCTTGTAAAGAGTTTGTTTGAGCGTTACCTGGTGCTGGTAGTTCCAGCTTTGCTCTCCTGAGCTCAGTCATGGACACCTGCAGCTGCTCAATCACAACGTCGTCCTCATAGTAGAAATTCTTGGCCAGAGACACCTGGAGAAACTCCACCAGCTCTTCCATGGACAACTTCAATAAGTGTTCTAAAAAACGCAAAGGGACAGCTGAGAGGAATGTGTAAAACAGCTTTTACCGCTACAGCTACAATTTAACCACATATATTGTGTATATTTACGTTTTGAATGAATATCTTACTTTTGTGCAGTTTGAGGACAGTGTAGGACATGGCGGGCAGCACTCTCTCACCCTGCAAAATGTATATGTCCCAGATCCTAAGTGTAAGAGTGAACGGCGTCTATGCAATAAAAATATAGATATGAATCATTTGGACATTATCATTCAGCTAAAATGTAATGTTTTACGCACTCTATCCAGGAAGCACTGGAAAAACCACTTCATTGTGTAGAGGCTGGTAAAAACTTCTTGAGCATCCTGTCAGAGCATATAGAAATACGTAAGCAAATTATTTGTAAAATGACTATCAAGAACAATCATAATCTTACCAAGTGTTGTTTGAGCTTCAACATCATTTTCTTCAAGATGCGGTCGTGGTGTTCTTGGAAACGCATCAACTTTGGAAAGCCGGGAACAAAGAAGCCTGAAGAGGACAGCAGCCAAGAGATTATTTTAGGAAAGATTTTTTTCACAGAACAATACAAAACGTACCGTGCATGGCATGCCTCTGGCCTGAGAGGAGTCTGACCAGAGCCCAGAAAGCATCCTCTTCGTTCATATAGATGAGGAGTAAAGCAGTGATCTGACTCATACCCTGACAGTAGCCCACTTCCTGTGAGAGACACAGATTATACCATTGTTTTGACAAAAAACTTCAAGCCTGAAGTTATTTCATCACTGTTTAATCTTCAACGGTGTCAATGCTTGATCATTAGGAGGAAATAACTGATGAAATCTACAAATAATATATTCAACAACTTACTGTGTTATAGATGGAGTAAGCAGTAAGGACATGAAAGAGTGCTTGCTGTCTGAAAGGGGGAAAAAGTAAAAAAGTACCATCACTTCATAGAGTCATAATGATCCCAGACACTTAACCCTTGTGCTATCCTTGGGTCAAAACCCACCACAGTGATTAAAAGCAGAGAAAAAATACATAAAATTAGGGTCTAAAAATGTCTAAATGGCCCAGGGCCGGTCAAGCTAGGAAAAATCATACAAATTCAGCTTAAAAAAAAAGATAAAAAGAATTAGGGTTATTTTTAATTAATGTGGCTGGAGAACAGCACAAGGGTGAAATAAACATTGAACAAAACAAATATTGAAACACATCTTTACATTTACTCTTTGCAAGTGGTTTCAAAAACAGTAATCGATTCTCCTATTTTCCATTTTTCTTTTCAGTTTTGTCGTTGTACTCACTTGACATCATAGCGGTGCATGAACATGATGTGATCTCTGTAAGTCCTGTTGACGTCCAGATCTATCTGCCGGATGTCGGGCGACAGTCCTCTGGCTCTGGCCTTCAGCTTCTGCAGAAAAGAGGCCCTTCGTTACCTCTGCCTCAGTGTGCTTTCTAACATCAACTATAATGACTATTGCTATAGCTATTTATCCATCCATCCATTTTCTTCCGCTTTATCCGTTGCCGGGTCGCGGGGGCAGCAGTCTAAGCAGAGACGCCCAGACTTCCCTATCCACACACACTTCCTCCAGCTCGTCCGGGGGGACCCCAAGGCGTTCCCAGGCCAGCTGAGAGACATAGTCCCTCCAGCGTGTCCTGGGTCTTCCGCGGGGCCTCCTCCCGGTGGGGCGTGCCCGGAACACCTCCCCAGGGAGGCGTCCAGGAAGCATCCGGAACAGATGCCCGAGCCACCTCAACTGGTTCCTCTCGACGTGGAGAAGCAGCGGTTCTACTCCGAGCTCCTCCCGTGTGGCTGAGCTCCTCACCCTATCTCTAAGGGAGCGCCCAGCCACTCTGCGGAGGAAGCTCATTTCGACCGCTTGTATCCGCGATCTCGTTCTTTCGGTCATTACCCAAAGCTCATGACCATAGGTGAGGGAGGGAACGAAGATTGACCGGTAAATCGAGAGCTTTGCCTTTCGGCTCAGCTCCCTCTTCACCACAACGGTCCGATACAGCGACCGCATAACTGCGCACGCTGCACCGATCCGCCTGTCAATCTCACGCTCCATCCTTCCCTCACTCGTGAACAAGACCCCGAGATACTTGAACTCCTCCACTTGAGGAAGGACCTCTCCACCCACCTGCAGAGGGCAAGGCACCTTTTTCCGGTCGAGCACCATGGCCTCGGATTTGGAGGTGCTGATTCTCATCCCAGCCGCTTCACACTCGGCTGCAAACCGTCCCAGTGCATGCTGCAGGTCCTGGTTCGTTGGAGCCAACAGGACAACATCGTCCGCAAACAGCAGAGATGAAATCCTGTGGTCTCCGAACCGGACCCCCTCCGACCCCTGGCTGCGCCTAGATATTCTGTCCATAAATACAGTGAACAGAACCGGTGACAAAGGGCAGCCCTGTCGGAGGCCAACATTCACCGGGAACAGGTCTGACTTACTGCCGGCAATGCGAACACAGCTCTGGTTCCGGTCATACAGGGATCGGATGGCCCTCAGCAGAGGACCTCCGACCCCGTACTCCCGGAGAACCCCCCAAAGGACACCCCGGGGAACACAGTCGAACGCCTTCTCCAAATCCACAAAGCACATGTGGACAGGTTGGGCGAACTCCCATGAACCCTCGAGTATCCGATGGAGAGTATAGAGCTGGTCCAGTGTTCCGCGACCGGGACGAAAACCACACTGCTCCTCCTGGATCCGAGATTCGACCATCGGCCGTAACCTCCTCTCCAGTACCTTGGAGTAGACCTTACCGGGGAGGCTGAGGAGTGTGATCCCACGATAATTAGAACACACCCTCCGGTCCCCCTTCTTGTAGAGAGGGACCACCACCCCGGTCTGCCACTCCATTGGTACCGCCCCCGATCGCCACGCGATGTTGCAGAGACGTGTCAGCCAAGACAGTCCTACAACATCCAGAGACTTTAGATAATCAGGGCGGATCTCATCCACACCCGGAGCCTTGCCACCATGGAGGCTACTATAGCTATTTAATCATTCAAAATTCATTCTTGTTTATTTGAGCACATGTTTAACAAAAACGACCATATGTACTTTATTATTTGTGTTCTATACATGTTTTTAAATTAGGAATATTATGGTGACAAATAAGTTAAAAATAGATATAATGGAATGTAAAAAAGATCAAATAAAATTCTATTCTTTTTTGTTCCATTTATAGGTTTTGTTTGTCCTAATAAAAAGATTCTTATTTAAGTAAGGCTTGTTTGTATTTGGATGGCACAGTGTGTATTAATGAAAAGGGGGATCTTTATATAAACCAGATTGTAGCTTTTGTTGCCAATTTTCATCATTCAACCGTGACCTATAGCACATGTTTTTCGCAAGAGGGGAACCAGAGCACCTGGAGGAAACCTACAGTATGCCGACACGGGGAAAACATGCAAACTGCACACAGAAAGTCCCTGTCTGGACGTGGAAACGTGCCCAGGACCTTCTTGATGAAGCTGTGCCATGATGCCCATTTTGTGAACAAATGTATTTGAAAATATTTGACCTTTTGCATGCTGGGAGCTGATTGGCCGAGTGAGGGCTGGTACTGGTCTAAAGATGTGACAGAGGCCAATAATACACGTATGTGAAAACTATTGAGCCAAACCGCTTTGAGAGCTTGGAACTAGTTACATGGATTTTACATGTACAGTTATTTTTGAGGTTTCAGAGTTAGGTAGTCCAGCTTTAAGTTAAGGCATTATTTTGGCATTGAATATGATTTACCTCATAGAAGTCTTTCTTCTCTTCCTTTATTTTGGGCACATCGAGGAGAAGACACCACACCTCCCCTCTGAGCTGCAAAGGAATCCCTTTGTAAATCCTCCTGACCAGCTGAGAGGACAAACAGTTGCACATTAGTCCAGAGGAAGAGTTCACAAACTATAGTGCACAGTCAGAGCGGTGTGCTTTTGAAATACAGCAAAGAGCTCTGGAAGGGAAACCACTATCATCTTGTTCTTTGAAAAAGAAGGAAAACAAACAGAGTTAAACATTGAATTGTATCCATTCATTTAGCCACTTACAGTCAATTACACATTTTGGTGTTTTATCAAAGTAGTCAGTTATTTTCAAAAGGTACATTCACACAAAAGCTTCTCAGTTGGAATTCTTTTACCCAAATGTCACAAATTGAGCAACATAATTCACTTGCAGCACATACAAAAAACACTGCAGTATCTGCACTGGGGCTGCAGTGCACCAGAGCAACACTTGTGCATGGCTCTGTGGCCTCCACCTGAGCCTGGTCGAACTACTAACAAATGCAAATTCATTTTTCTTGGAACAAGCTGTGGCCATTTATTCTGCTTCTTTGTTTTGTTGTTATTTGTGGGAGAATGACAGTAGCTTGTTGTCACCTTCTCACTGTTCTTGTATTTATCCCAGCTTTTCAGCATCTTCAGCCATTTGCCCGTCCTCTCCACTTCATTGTGTTTTTGCTGAAATCAAAAAATATATTTTGAAAAACGGATGAATAACTCATTCACAACACAACAAGAGAACAATGGACTTTTATTAATCGTTACATTTAATGAAATAAACCCTCACCTTCTCCTCCACTGAGTCGTAGGATGGAAGCTCATTTTCACTAAAAAGAGAAAAAGATAGAAGTTTGACATACAGAAGATATGGTAAAAAGGAAATGGATAAAGCATTTTGAACAATAAACACATTGTGTACAGTGCCTTGGACTAAAATATTCATTCCCCATGAACTGCCCAATGATCTTTTGTGTCTCGTTACACCTTAAATATGTTATGAGGATATATTTTGCTGATGACCAACACAAAGTGTCAATATTGAGAAGTGAAATCACAATCATACATGATTGTGTTCTGCCACCCTAAGCTCCAAGACTTTGTGGAAAGTGGCTCTGCTCCAAATACAGATGCAGATACAGTCTTTTTTTTCGTAATGAGACAAAATGTGAAAAAGGTCATGGGGTATGATTACTTTTTCAAGACACTGTCTCCTCTTGGTTGTGACATTCTCCTGTCAGGGGGATCTGGACGTCACACTTCTGTGTGTCCTTCATTGTCCATCAGAAACATTTCTCCTACATTTCCTCGCAGCGGCTGAGGCCTGAGTGCCGCACTGTGTCCATGACTGTAACCCTGTGATTGTGGCTGACCACAGAGTTTCCTGCCAGTGTGTGCCAGCCGTAAATCTACCACATCACAGGGCGCTTTAAGAGCCACACAGCTCCTCCAGTCGCTCAGCTTAAGCCCACAGCCCTCAGCAACACTTGTATTTACAACCTCTCATTTTCTCCCTTCAGTGCAGCTCTTACACAGGCGTTAAAAGGAGCTATAATAACAGTGGCTGTGCTTGGGTTGCAGTGTGAGCTTACTGGACGAAGCCGAAGCGGTCGATGACTTTGTACAGGTGGAAGTTTGTGTCCTCCCAGGGCTCCACAGTTGCCTCTTTTCCCTAGAAAAATAAAATTATATACAATAAGCTATCATAAACACAATTCAATCACTATGGATACAAACCAGTATATAAGAGTTCCTCCTAGCTCACCATGCCTTTCCAAGTAGTGACCCCAGAGTATTTAGATATATACTATGTATTATGCCAATGAATAATGGTTGATTGTTGATTCCTCACAAACTCACATCATGGTAACAGCATTTTAAATGCCAGTAACACACTGGCATCCAACATTCCCCTTTTATGAACTAGTATGAAAAGTGAATAATGACGACACTGTATATAGAGCAGTTGTTTTTAAGGCCAAACTTGTTCATCGGAAGCAGTGATGATGATGGCGGGTCAATTGCCATGAGGAGCACAGCCCAGTTGCCCTTGGTTGAGAGGGTGCTTAATGTGTGTTTGTGCGATACAAACTGTGTGATAGAGAGCAGTGAGCAGATGTTAAGAGGTGTGAAATGAACAGCCAGACGCCCACCTGCGTCACAGTCTCACTGCAGGCACCAAACTGAAATGTTCAGTTTACGGACACACACACTGAATGATTGAATGGAGATACTTTGAGCTGCATTCTAAGCAATTAAAATACCGGGCACAAAAAGAATCAAAGCTTGTCTCTATTCTGGGTAAACCTGCAGAGTCCACATCTGTCCATTTATCCGCTCTACTTCAGTTCATGCTCAGGGTTCAGGCTCACCACTCCCACTGGCACATCTTCAATCAAGGCAGAACAACCATGGCCCTGAGGTTCAGAGAAACATTCCTGCTGCATCTCGTTTACCCTGTATCTACAGTATGATGGACCTTTACTTTTATTTCAGAAAAAAATACCTCTCTCAATATTGTAGTATTGAGTACTTAAATCAGGTGAGAAAAGGAAATCATATGTATTTTTACACTAGGTAAACTTCCGGTCTCTGTATGTTTTAGAAAAAGGAAATCAGTATGTTGCCGAACTGTACAACAAACCTGGATGAGTCTTCTGCTGCTGGACACCTGATCAATAAAGAATCTATCCATTTATCTATCTAAACGTTAACCAGGATGTCTGCATGTACATCACCACTTGAGTTTCTCAGATAATTAACACACTGCACCCACTCGTTCATCCTCTCTTTATCTACAGTATGTCCTCTTCAACCCTAATGAGACACACATTTATGATGCTTGTCAGAGCAGATGAGAAAGACTGCAAAACCAGAACTGTGGGCCACTTTTATATTCATTGTATGATATTAATGATTTAATACATGAGAAAAAAACTATTCATCCAAAGTTTGGACTTTTAATTATTGGAAGAGTAATTGAAAAATATAAAGAAAATTTAAAAACTATGTTATTGATTAAGCATTAAGCTCTTAAGCTCAAACAGTGACAAACAGTTCTCAAATAGTCTTTGACCCAACACCGGTCAGACCACTCTTGTCCCACTCTACTTGCAGGTCAAGAAGCTGAATCCTGTGGCCAGGATGCTATGAAGCAAATATTTTCTAAATATAAGTAAATATAAGAAACATCTCATTTAGGGTGTGTTCACACTTGTTTGTCTGGTTCACTTTAACTGCACCAAGTTTGGTTCACTTAGGGTGAAAAGATCTCTGTAAGAAAACTGTTTTTGATTGTTCATTTGTGGCTCAATAACTTTCCTGTGTGATGTATTAGGAATATAATCCGTTTTTTTCATCATTAGTGCCTAACTATATCATTGGTACTTTACTTCAGTATCAGATATTGGTAAAAAGCACAAGACAAAAAGTTTGATAAATGCAGAATACCTTATCATATTTGGCGACTATCTCAGCCCGCTCCTGGTCCAATTTTGCCGCTGCATCCTGCTCAGTGTCAGACGCTGCACAGAAAATAAATTAAGAGAGATTAGTATCAATTATTTAAATTTACTTTATTCATTCGATCAGGGACAATGCAAAATAAACATTAGTCTCAAAAAAAGAAAATGTCATGTGCCAGGTTTTAGCAAAAAAGCTATAAAGTTTTTTTCTTTTAAAAAAGGAGCGTTAAATGGTTCACGTTAGCTTAACAGTAGCACCGAGTCAAAACCACTCACCCTCCCCGCTGCCCTGCACCAAACCCAACTCCCAGCACACATGAACGTCCTTTCTGTAACAACGTAGCTTGTGACGGAGCCTCCCAGCCTAAAATGTGAAAGCATTATACTAAATTTGCGATTTGCTGTATGACATACTTGACAAGTGCTAGCTTCCACTAACAAACTAGGAATTAGCAAAACTCGACCGTCGATGCATTACATGGCCCTGGCTGCGTCCTGAGTCTTCTTATACAACGCCTTTTCCTCATCTGATATTCTCGTCTTTGCCACAACAGGGCGAGTGGTTGGCAAACATGAAATGGGCACTTTGGGGGTTTTCTGCTCTGCCATTGTAGGTGTTTTAGAAAGTCCAACACTCAGGTGCGCACTGACTAAGAGCAGGAGGGGGGAGAGTGCATCTTGTTCTTCCAGTCCACCCAAAAATATGTATTATATTATTTTTTGAGGCTACAAGCATCTGGTTGTGTCCATTCCTATTTGAAAACATGTGATAACTTGACTACTTTTGGGGTTTAGGGATATTTCCACAGTATTTTAAAAATTGCATCTGGATAAATCATTTAATGCATTTTTAAAAAATGCATCTGTAAATTGTCACTCCTGACACACAGATGTTATTGTGAAGATATTTGAAAGGGTTGACAATGGACTAACGTGATTTTACTCTCTGGTTCTAGTCAAAACTTGAGCTGGCCGAAAGTTGGACCTTGTCAAGCCTTTTAAAACATTACATGTGAAGGAGGTGGGAGGTTTGAAAACGATCAAGTTCAATTGAAAAAACTTATTGATAGAGAAGTCACAATTAGATTTACACAACTCTACTAGAGCACAGGTAGTTGGATGTTTTGACACACAAACTAACAAGACTAGCTGATGCATTTAATTCTCACAGGATAAGAAACAGCCATGGAAAATGTAAAAAAACTTGCTGAATCACAAAAAACTTTGCGGTTTATGTATAAAGAAATAGAAGATAGAGGCACCTCAAAAGGCAGTACATGTATTTGGACGAGCACAAGCTACACACTCATTATAGTAATCTTGGATGATAAGTACAGTCTCTCCACAACAGCATGCGTTGTATTGTTTGAAGTCTGGGATGTGGAACAAAAAATGAACCAGAAAAATATGTGCACTTGATTGCACGGCCATTAGAGTGCTTATGTAGAATAGCCATTTTATGAATTAGTTAAAGATTATGCAAGGTTGCTCTGAATTAGAAAGGAGGACCAAGTCTGCACACTAAACAGCTTTTCAACACCATTTGGATCCAAACGGACTGAGAGATTTATAGATTGTATGTCATGCTCTGTATGTAGACGCAAGACAAGTGGTCTAAACAGTTTCTGGGAAAAGGTGAATTGAGTCAGCCTGTGTCCCTATTCTCTTCCCATATACTGTAGAGTAAGGGTCAGACCAATGAGTAGCCTCTGTACTCGGACAATCCCTGCTCATAACACAATCCTGTCCTTGAAACACTTCTGTATTTTGCTTTATCCAAACAATGGAGAATAATTAGTTCCTCACAGAGTTTATTGTCAAAGGCCACGTACTTCCGTATCCAGCACTAACATACATTACCATTACCTTGACGTCATTTTCTGTGTAACTGATAATGGTAACTCAAAATAAAAGTAAATGCATTTCTTCACCCCCCTGTGAGGTTTTATGTAATTTCTTTATTTGTCTAGTATCCTATTCAGGAAGAGTTTTCTTGTTTTGTTTACAACTTCCTTTATGGGTCACTAGGGTCTGCCCATGAGTGAACCTCAACTGGAATTCCTTCCATGCAAACAAGCTTATTGAGCAGCCTGGCATTTTTATGTGTGGTGTGTAAAAAGCATGTGGCAGTGGGTAAAGGAGCAAACAGGGTACATTTTCACTGAAACATGCCATACTGGAGCCTTTAACAAAACACAGGTTTAGGCCTAATGACCCATTTCTAAAATCCTACTCCTACTACTTGTCCAATATCCCAGTGGAGATGTTCTCTGGCTCTAATGTTGATATATATTTCAGAGGATCGAAAGTCAGATTTGGTTGTCTTGTGGTCTAGGCACAACGGTTAGGTCCTGGGTTTCTGTCTAGAGTTTGCATGTTCTCCCTATGTCTGCATATGTCACCTACCACCAAAAGCATGAACCAGAAACATGGTTAGTGATGGTTGGAAGGTCTGGTGTACCAGCTGTTCCACAGTACCATCACCATGTGTGGAGTGAATGGAAAATACCAAGTTGTAAAGCACTTTGTGGGACCTTGGTCTGTGAAATGCGCTAAATAAATAAAGATGATGTGAAATGTGTTTTGTGAATTACACACAATATTATTATTAACATAAAACATAGATGATAGATTTGTTGTTAGAAGTTTGTTGTTGGTTTAATCCTTGTAATCAGACCAATGACACGACTCCATGACGACAATAATCACAGCCTCTTGGTCTGTGTGCTTTACTAAAACCCTTTTAGCCTGCAGTAATAAGACCTCTTTGTTCCTCATGTTAAGAGCTTGTCACTTGTCACGCCTCCTGCTCCCGTCCACACACACACACTTTTGTGAACCTCCAGCTTTGGCGCATTGTGAAAACAAGATAAATCATCGGCAAATGATAAGGAACAACTCATTTCCTGTCTTTTGTCTTGTTCGAGAATTCATCTCTTCACTGTTGCTCAGTTTATATTATCCAATGTGATGTTTGTGAGCTGACCCGTGTGCAACTATGGATATGACTCACCTGACAGTTCAGAATGCAGACAAATGGCCTCATGTTACAGGAGAAAGATTATATATTGCAGTCAAAATACAGGCGAAATGAATTACAACAGTTTATATTACACCATTACAGCAACTATAATACAATTTCAGAAGTTTAAAGACAATAAATAACAGCTATTTTGAATAGAAAACTGCACTGAGAAGTGAGGATATTGAATGTCCAAATTCTTAGGATACGTAATCACATTTTGCAATTAAGTGTGAACAGTGACGTAAAGTTTAACACCACATAATGTCACCCACATGACAATTGTCAGCAGCAACACACGAGTACAGTAAACCATAATTACTACTCTGCTTTATAATCCTGTTTCTGTCGTCCTTGGGTTTGACAACACCAGCGTCAAAAACAGTCTGTTGAAATGTGTTTTACAAAGACACATTTCATTTATACATTCATCGCTCTGAGTTATTTTGTGTGGAAGAATATAGTACATCAACATGAGATTGTTTGAGGCCATTGCTCAACAGGCAACTCTGTCAAGCTTACCTCGAGTCAAAAAATATCCGGGATCCTCTTGAAGAGTCGAAGCCCGCATCAGTCACAGTGTTTTGCTCCAACAAGAGTAAATCCAGACAAACTCATTTTGTCAAAGTGAGGAACTGCATGCAGAGGGAAATCACAGTATTGTGACTGTCATAGCGGGAACAGACAGAAGAAGAGGTACTTCAAGAGCGAGTCAGTCCCACTCTCAACATTCCCCACCCAAACACGACAACACAACAGGCCTCTTTCAACTCACAACACAGAGTCACTGTTTTGGGACAACTCAGACATTTAGGGAAAATCCTTACAATAGCTCTAAAAATCCAAATCTTTTCAGTCAGAGGTTTAAATATTGAACATTGATGTCAAAAACGAACCTAAAACGTACATACTAATGATAATACAGAGTAAAAAAACCACTAAGCAAATTCATAAAAAGCATTTAACACAGACTATTCAGTATCCGATGGGAGAAGGCGGCAGCTCAGCGATGACAACCAGATGATTAACAGTTTCTATTAAAACTTAATTTAAAAATGTGCCATAAAGAGTGCTGCTGTGCCGTTCTTCTGTGATAGATGAGTGAACACAGGGCTGAGCAACAGGCAGATGAACGACAATGGGACAAAGCTGTCTTCTATCTCAGCTCCATCATAGTCAGGAAGAGAGCAAGAACACTTCTCAAACGCTGAACAAACTCAAAGTAAGAAGGAACCTTAAAAAGGATTTGATTCTTTCAATGTGGTCAAGTGTTGAAGCAAGCGCTCAACTATGAGTTATGCAAAGTGACACATTGTAGGCTAATGACTGTGTGCTACTCCCCTGAATAAGAGATTTGGATATGTCAGCATGGTTAACAAAAGGTCAAACTGTAGAGGCCTCAAAACACTAGTGCAAATACGTGAAGGAAATCAATGCCAATATCTGCTCTGGTGTGGAAAATCAGACACATTAAGTTGAGTTCAGAATGCCGTGGGGCCTGTTATTGTAGTTTCAGTTCTTACAGAGTTTGTTCAGTTTCTTCCGGATATGCATTATATAGAAACGTCATGACATAACATCAAAAGGTGCCATTATAGTCATAACAACAGATGCAAAGTCGGCATGACCTCATCCCTTCCATGTTATGTCTGCTTTTTGTCCACTTAGTTGGTATTGAATGTTGGTAAATACTTGAAGTCAAAGAACCACTCTCAGTATCACTACTGAAGGTGTCAGACTGCTTGCATCCACATCTACAGGCGTCTTATTTATAAGAGCTTTATTGTAAACAAGTTAAAACAAAACCGCGACAGTCATATCACTGCTGAAAATAGACCCTTTTCAGATATGTTTTCAATCAAAGTGTAGTTTTCTCTTGATGTAGAATATGGCACTGCTTTGCCCTTTAGTGAGGACAGGGAAGCAAATTAGTCCAGTGGCTGCACTGGGAAGTCAAGGGGTCTTCTGGCCATCACCCACTGTGCTTGGACCACGGCCCCTCCAGCCTTCATCAGCACTGTGCATTCTGTACGCATCA